CATCGCGTTAACGTGCTTGTAGGGTCAAAAATGTTACGGAACAAATAAGGTTAAAAAAAGATTGTTTTAGACTGTGTGACAATGGAATGACATAGACGGCCAAGATTTTCTAGCTCCGACTTATTTAAAAAAATAGGTTGACACTAATAATGAACTAAATCTAAGTACATATGCTGACATAATTATGTGTCAGTAAATTGTGCTAACGTAGTTTTTTTTTTGTAAGATAGTTTATAAACTGGAAAACTAACTGCTTTGTAAGTTATACAGCAGCTGTAAATAAGAGTTTAACAATCCAATAGAGTTATATCTTGTTATTTTCAAAGAATGTGACGAGTTCGGTCCGGGTTAGTGTATTTTTGGACGCCCCCAATAAAGTTTTAGGATTATAATGGCGATGATTAGACAGCGAATTTTAGCCTGTCAAAAATCAGAAATAAATCCTAAATGGGCCACTTAAACGTAGAAAAATGGCTTTAAAAAAAGGCAGAATAGACACTTCGAGCAATAACTTTTTATTCATAAAATTAATTACGTTATTTGTTTTTACTTCTGGAGCGTAAGCTAATCGGATCCATCCGCCGAACGGCTACTTTCATATTTTCACGACATTTCATGACCCCTAGTGTACAAAAAAATGGGTCTCCCGTTTCCATCTGTCTGTCTGTCGCCGTCTGCCATGGTGTCATTGTTTTTTAGACAGATAATCTTCGAAACTATCGGACCGATTGTTGGCAAAATTTGTGTTAGAAATATTGTGCAGATAATGAAACGCTAACCAAACTTTGTCTAATTATATTCCCACCAACAATATGATCACGACACCTCAAAAATCTGCATAGTAAATGTTATTTAAGTTTATAATATACTTGTGGTTTATGAATCCGTCTTGATGTTTTACCCCAGGCGTGCAGATTTTTGGAAAAACAAAATTATAACATTTCACAATTTAACTTGCTCTGAAATCGTGCGTATGTTTGAGGTTATCGCAACCGTAGTAAATAGTAATTTTACCGAATATATCCGATCTAAAATGTGCAAAATATTAGGAGTCCGTATTTGTGGTTTATCAATGCATTCATATTTTTTAGAAGAGTTTATACAGTGTGAGTCAAAAAAATTAATGAGTGGGGCAGTTTATTTCTTCACCAACAATGGGAGGAGGTTGTATTTTATTGGAAGTGGCTAAATTATGGTCGCCGGAATTCTTATTTCACCCTTAAATACAAATTTTTATTTTCAAAATACGTTTTTATTTAATTTTTTTATGACTTGACGTATTACCAAATTTAGGCACTATACATTACATTACATTTTAGGCATTAGAATAGGCAAATATGCACTAATATTGAAAAATAGGCAATTAGGCAAAAGCAACCAAGGCTTAAAAATTAGAGCATTTTTTTAACGTATTTATACAGGGTGTCTCAGAAATATGTACATTAATTTTAACCAGTAACAGAACTCGTGAAACGGAACAACTTTTTTATCTAGCATTTTTTCGAAAACTCAAGTCGAATTTCGAATTTTCCCACCCATATATTCACGAGCCGTCTATGTTCACCTTAAATAATAACTTAAATAATAGCAACACTACAACAATGAAGAAGGTACCGTAGCAACCGTTTTGACACTGATAATCATTTTTATGTCAATGTTTTTATTAAACGTTGTCTCTTTAAAGTTTGTTTGGCACAAATTTCTAATTTATAGACGAAATGTGTTGAAATGGCTTTGTTTTCAAATCTGGAATGCACCGATATCGTTTTAACGTACGGTGAAGCTCCGGGAAGCGGCACTCGCGCCCAACGAATTTTTTCAGAAAACCTCCCAAATCGTCTGCCAAATGTGCGCAGTTTTAAGAACGTTGCAGTATATTCGAGAGTACGGATCTTTTAAACCGGCACCTCAGAATCGGGGTAAGTTACGTAGTAATAGAACTGCTAATATTGAAGAGGCTGTTTTGAAGAGTGTCGAAGCTCGACCGGGCACTAGCACGTAATCACTGTCTAGTGTGATGTATCGGAGAGTAATATTTGGAGGATACTCAGAGAACAAATGTACCCCTTTCAGGACCAGAAAGTTCAGTTATTGAAACTAACAGACTTACCACGTAGGCAAAACTTTTGTGAGTGGGTTAATAGAAAAATAAACGAACAAGCAAATTTTGTATCTCTTATACCATCAACTGATGAGGTCGGTTACACGAGGGAAGGTGTTCAACACCCACATTTGGGCCGATGAAATTCCGTACGCCATTAGGGAGCAGGATTTTCAATTTCTCTCTAAATGTTTGTCACATTGACAAGACTAGGAAAATACGTATCCTAGTAACTGTTTTTGACCATAAATTATTAATTATAATAATTATTAGTGTCCATGGGTGACTGAGGATCCATGGGCGGGTAATCTTAATTGGGGTATAACTTTAACAATTTTTAGCTTGATAATTAAAAAGTTCTTGACAAAACTCTACTAAAAAAAGTTGTTGAGTTCAATGAGCTCTATAACTGATTAAAATTAATGTACTTATTTCTGAGACACCCTGTATAGGAGTGTGGATGAAAGCCTAGGTTAGAAATGAAAAGATATGTGGTCACTTGCGCGCCGCGGTTGCTTTACCTCATCCATGTCACCTCACCCAAAAAGATCATAGGACATTTATGCTCAAATAGGGGATTATGAGGGTTGTCATTGCCTACAGTAACCCAGCCGATAAGTAATTTAGTAATTTCTCAACTACAAAACTGTTTTATTTTTTGTAAGATTAATTTGGTAGAAAATTCAAGAGCAATAAAAATAGTTTTAGCTTTATATACATACATATTTGATAATTAATAAAACGGGTGTAATTGTGTTTAAATAGACAGACAGAATAAACAGAAAGTCAATATTCACTATTTGGCGGACTCTACTTTATAACAGTAAGGTTCATAATATTATAGTGGCAGATATAGAGTGCTATAAAAACAGAACACTTAGAAATGTATAACAAATCATTTTTAGTGCATTTAATGTCGTTTATGTGCCATTCATTGCAGCAATAAAAATTCATATTTGAAACATGTGTTTCTATCGTTATAATATAAGCTTATACTTTTGATAATGCAATCACATTTAAAGCTTAAAAAAAACCGTCATTTATAATTCTGTCGTTGAAAATTTTTATTCCCGATTTAATTCTACCGATATCGGGGAAAATGAAAAATATTTCGTCCGTTATCGAAAAATGGCTGCTTCAAAAAAATATATATGTATTATACTGAATCTTTTCCGCAACGGTTCGCTTAGCTTGGTTAACCAACCTATTTTAAAACTGTGGGAAGCAGTAACTATGCAAAGGATTACCTACTCACTTAAACTTTTTTCTTGAGAATCTCTAACGTCATAAAATCCACACCTATTATTATTTTAACTTAAAAAATTACACAATCAAATTTTATCACTCATCTAAGAAACTGGATTTATTTTATTGTGCTTCAGGAGCGAGTTTAATAACCTTAGACACATTTGTTTTCGTTCTTGCACGATCCAGCTAAAAAATAAAAGATATCCATTTTGTTATATTTTCTTCGGGGTTGGACCGATCGGTATCGGCGCTAATGGTGCAGAAAAATATACCATTTATATGCGTATCTGTGATGCCGCAGAAATTTTATCATGTCAGATAACCAGAATAGTCGATCCAATATTCGCTGTTTTAATGAAGTTATGCAGTTTTATGTAAATTGGAAAAAAAAACCGTATACAGTTTTGTATTCAATATTTTAAGTGTTTGGTGCTTTATTTCCCCGTGCCATTCATCGGTTAATGGAAAAGTAAATCACCAGAGTCAGCAAAATTCGGTCATTTGATTGAATCCTTAATTACTTTCCAGGTGCTTAGATAAATTTTTAACTGTTATCACTTTATGGCGCAAACTATTAAAATGGAATTCGAGAAGTGAAGAACAGTGCATTACACGGCGGTCGCTTGAAAATGCACCGTGAGTTATTTCATGTGTAGGCGGCGCTAAAACGGTACACGCAATTAGTTTTCACTCAATTTTTGGACCCTTTTTTGAGTAAGTAACCTAATTGCAAAACAACCTGCTTCACATGATGATATTGTGACAAATTTTTGGTACTGAAATACTGTATGAAAAAACTAGCTGGAATATTTGTGTGTTTATTTTGTACGGACAAGGTCATTATGTGGCGATTGGGGTATGAATTGCCAAATTTTAAGGACTACTATCAAGTTAAGTAACAAAAATTATAACGAAATTGAGGCCGCATTCTCACGGATATAGAATTAGCGGATGAAACAAGAAAAACATGTTGGAAGCGAGTGATATTAGATGCATATCAGTGTTCTTCGTGATTGAAAACGGCAAAATGTTAAGAAACTGGGACACAATCAGCAGGATTTCTTACTTTTATTGACTGACACTGAATTGAAAGACGTCTCTATGGCGCTGTTCTCATTATTTTTTTTCCAGACAAAATACTAAGACACCACCCAAAACCGTGATCACATTTAGCTGCAATGGTGTCTGTAGGCCAAGTTCACAGTGGCTCTCAAACGTTTCACCCTGATCATTTGTGTTTTAAATCGACAGTATAAAACACTCAAATTAAAGTTTCCTGGCGGTTGTTATTCTATTTTCTATATTAATCTGCTGTCGCAGTAGTTTTATTTTCTACTTTTTTAGTGGTAAAAACTTACGTCCCTTTATAAAACTCTGTGGGCAATGCGGTCGATGTAGTACTTTCTATATGAAAGGTCGAAATATTATTAGACATTATTGAACAGCGTGAAGTGTTGTTACCTTAGGTGCTTGGTTTAACAATTAAAAATAAGTCAATTTTCAAAAACCTAAATACCTAGGAGTAATTGAACCAGAACTCAAAAGAATACTTGGACATTATATATACCTTATACAATATTAACATTGCTAGAAATAGAAGTAGATCAATTTTTTTATTGTTAATATTATATCAAAATCTTTTCTTGTGCAGGCGCCGCGTGGTGGTCGATGGCGTCCCATTTGGCGGCCCAGGATTACCTGGCGCGTCTTCAGGCAACGGGCTTGAACTTCCCGTCCCTGGGATCCCCCGCCGACCTCCAGTACGCCTCGCTGGGTCTGCCCCCGCACTCGTCTCACCACAAGTCGTCGAAAAGTTCGAAGGCCTCCTCGACGCCGCTGTCCAAGTCCAAGGACGGCAAACTGTCCTCGCCGTCGCCGACGCTGCCGTCCCCTATTCCCAAGTTAGATGGACGCGTCGATCACTCATCGCTCAAAGCCAACTCGTCGATGTCCAATTCCAAACCGCCGGGGAAGTACTCATCTCCACCAGGTGTGGCCGGTCTCAGCATCCAGGCGAGCATGAAGTTGCCGAACAATAGCGAAAAAAAGACGAAAGTGAACGATTTGAACTACTTGAAGCCGATGGACAAGAAGACGACGACGAGTGCGAGTTCGGGTGTTAAAGTGTCGTCGTCGTCGCCGAGTATTTTCACCAGCCCGTTGAGCTTGGCCAGTAATTATGACAAAAGTGTCGCAAATACGCTTAGTACTCAAAGTTCCAGTGATAGTCTTAGTGGCAGCAGTTTGCCTTCGAGCAGCATTTTGAGGTAAGGAAGGAGTGTCGTCAATTTGTTCATAGTCTGTGTCGACTGATTCTATGCTTTTGCGATCCTACCGATAGATGGCACTAAGTACATGTGTGGCATTTAGTGAATGTTGAAAACAGAAATATGTATTTTTCTGACCTCACTTTCAGGCGCCACTTTTTTTGAGAGTTCGACATTAGTACCAACATACATTAAAAAAATTATTATTTTCGTACTATCCTTGTCTCGCACATAGGTTAAGTGACTCGTTTCATAATATCTTTTTCATATGATTTTTTTGGCACATGGTTGTTCAAATTAATGCCATCTTTTTTCAATTTTCAAAGCATACTATGGAATAATGTATAAATTGAAACTTTGGCTACATTCGGTTCGAAGTTGACTTGGTGAGACCACAGTTTACTGTTTTGCACGAATTGAACTGGCTGTCTTGTCTTTTTATTATTTGACCACTTCGACCATTCAAACCACAAGTGCAACTTCGGATCGAACAATTCAGACCAAAGTGACTACGAATTGAATTCAGTATCTATTTAGATTTCAAAGTTCCGACGTTTGCGAAATTGTGCGTCCAACAGTTCATCGAACAACTATCTTATCGGGTTGAATATAAGATTTACGTTTACGCAACCACACAGATCCTCTGATCATCATTAATGTCACAAAAGTTCGAAAAAAGTTGATTCTATCATCTGATTATTGAATCTGAAAACTCGCCTAATGTCACTAAATCTTCTGAAAATCCATTGTATTTTTGATGTTTGCGCAATCCGATAAAGAGTGCAATTATTAATCTGACAGTATGTGCATTGGTTTTAAGCTAACTGGATATTCATAAGTGTAGCAAGGTATATTTCAACATCCAAAGAAAGTTGTAGCTTTTAAAATGTTTGTAAAGGACCAAAATTGATTCGGCATTGATTCTAAAGTGACATTTTAGCTTATCGAGAGTGTTTTAAAATGATACACTCTAAGCAACATTTTCGGTTTCTCTCTTTCTACTGGGAGATGTTTTAGTTTGCCGCAACTTTTCCAATATTCTATTACCCTAGTTGAACATTGCATGGTTTAAGTGATCGAATATTGATTGGAAAGCGGGAGAAATTAAATGACTGTTTTATGAGAGAGGAGCCTTTGTGCTAAATAAGAATAAATTATGTAGGGGAAGGCGGTAAATTGTGCTATAATTTTAACACGAACGCTTGTATACCGTTTCTAATTGATTAATTTTCAAATAAAGTAAGACACTAGTGTTTTATTGAAAGTTTTCCTAATTAACAAATCGATTCAAATTCGTGTCATAGAAATGTTCATCCAAAATCATTCAGTGTCTTCTTCTTTGCATTTAGCTGATTCAAGCCATATGAAGTAGGCAGTAGAACTTTGAATACGTTGCAATGAGGTAACTACTGAATAATGCAAGAAATATTTTGTCTGAATAGTTTACAAATCGTGTTTAAAGTGACTATGGCTAGACATCAACATTGTGTGGAAATACAAATTTGTCTCTCTCGATAAATATATTTTTCAAAGAACTCGCAACACCAAATTTTTTTAGCAAATAAAGCAAGCACTTTTAACAACTAATTTTTAATTTCACAGTTGCGATAAATTGGGGCCGACAATGTGCCTCATGGTGTCCTGGTGTTTTTTGTCTTCAGTTCATTATTGTGCGATGTGACAGATGGTTCACTTTTTATTGATATAATAGAGGTACAGAAAGAACTGTTGCGTTCTACAATTTTTTTATCGGGTACAATTTTAACCGGTAATTTAGTGTATTACTACACTGTAATTATTTTGCAAAATAAATTTCCGTTTAACAAATTACAGTCGATAAAATAACAAATACTGCCAAAGAACATTGTGTTAAATTTTTGATAATTGTCTGTTCTTAGTTAAAATTGTCGTTTCAAAAATTCGACGATGCCAGCTAGAGACTAAATGTCACTTTGACAATCAGGTATGCCATCATAAAATTTTAAATATGTTGCCAAAATCAGATTAATAATCACTCGGTATATATTGATTTATTTTAAACGACTATAGTAATTTGTAGTTGGGCTAATTTAATAAAAAGGTAATAATATTTATAAAATACCTACAATCGAGGAGTAAGAAAAAATGAATCAGTTAATCTACGTAGAATTAAAATTGTTTTATCAAATTAAGTATTAACGAACGATTGTCGAAAAGCTGTGTTAATAAAAAAAAGGAAATCAAGTGGATCATGTGCTGTATATTAGTAGTATCCTTGCTGTCATTTGCTCTAATTTTTGCAAAGAAATGTACTATTAATTATGAATTTTGTTGATTTTAATGACCGTGTAAAAATAACGAAATTAGCTTATTAATAGTACGAATTTTAAACTTGCCCTTTTAATATAAAAAGAATATGCAATAAATATTAAATTTACAAACGACTTAATTGTTCATAATCGCTGGAAAATTTAGACAAACACGTTTACCTTTTCAAGATAGTAAAAGTTTGAGTGTTATAGTAGAATAATTCTCCGTTATACAAAAATTAAATACCAAGAGAATGTAGTACAGTAACAAAAATATTCGCATTGGCATCCTTTTTAGCAAATTATTTTTTCAATAATTTCATGTGTTGTATTAAAATTAAACAATTTGTTAGTGAAAAAAGCTTATATTTGTCATTCAACATTTGTTTATGGCAGTCACAAATAACATTTTTCAGCGATTTTCCGCGATGAAAAATGATAGTTACGTAGAAATCGACCGTCGTAAATTGACACGCAAAATTGCGAATTAAATCGTACTTTCCTCGTGTTATCACGACCTGATTCCCCGTGTTTTGTGTAGTCATTGATTGTATTTTATTTACATTCCAATTCGTTATTACGGTCATATTTTAAAAAACTTTTATCTTATCGCGTTTGAATATTTGTTCATTTACATGCCACTATCTAAACGAAATATTGTTCTGTATCACATTTCTGATCGACTTTTTTTTGATAATAGTGCTGCTCTGGAAGGAAACAGGTGAGAATTCTCGACTTCCGTTTCGTAAAGCCAACCGTGTATTGACTCTGGTATTTCTTTATAGTGATCCTAATTCGATACTTGGTGGCGTTCGTTTGCCTCCCGACACCGAGATCATCAAATATACCTCATCCATCGTTGGGCCTAAGATACCAGGAACGACGAACCGAGGTCGCAAAAAGACCATCTCGTTGGACCCACCTTCGGTTAGCGTGCACCCGTCTCATTCCACCACAGGAATGCTGATCGAACGAAGCAACAAACGTCCAAAACTAACAGTGAGTTACTGCTTAATTGCATGTAGATAGTGTCAAACATGATTGACGATAGGATCAGCAAGATGTTGGGTCGCCTCCTGCTTCGGCGAACGACAGGGTGGAAGTCATCAAATTACCAGCGACCAATGGCAGTCCGTCTGGAATTTCGGTTCCTTCGTTTAACAGTGAAAGTACGGGCGATACGCCGCTGAATTTATCACTGAAACCCAGTACATCAACGAATAGTAGTAGTTCTTCGCTGACTTCGTTAAGCAACATGTCGGCTAATATTGGAGTAGATAGGATATGTGAGTTTTTGTTCTGATGAATTGAACATGATGTTTTTTGGGTACATTGACGCAACGACTGAGTCATTCACGTGATAAAAAGTGCTATTTTAAGAAGGCACTTGCACGCTAGTGCAATCACATCTCAATTAATACAATACGTGTAAGAGATGGGATATCTAATCAAGTACTTTGGTTGTAACTATTAATAATAATCTCGAGCAAAAAGTCGACTTGTGATGGGAAAAGTGGGTATAAAATTAAAGAAAAAAAAAAAACAGTTTGGAAGTCGGTTAGTATACATTAAATTCTTACGCTCATTCGAGTTGAAGGTTGTAAATTTCTCAGTTGTCAAATTTTGACTTATTTTCTAGCACAACATAATTACTAAAATCCTTTCACAGTTAATTCTGGTGCACATTACTTTTTATGTGGTTCCTCAATGAACTTGTGCTCATAGTGACTCAACCACTCGACTACTCTTACTCCATCCATTTATAGATAGCGTTACGGTTTTCATTCAAAACTTACGTCTCTTTAAGAAATCGCAACATTGTATGTTATGACCAGTCAATTAGAAAAACAAATGTCCAAATTTTTACTCATCCTAATAAGACGTGATGACAAATTAAGAAAAGAAATTTGTTAAAAAATAATTAAGGTACATTTTAAAGTAAGTTCATGCTGTCAGTTATAACGTTGATTTTTTTAAATGTTTTTTTTTTAATTCTGGGCGTATATTATTAAGAAAAAAAAAACTATGTAAGTTTGTTCGGAAAGCTTTGCTTCACTTCCGCCGTTTCACTCCTCAGTGACCGCGTACATTATGTGACAAATTTTGTATAATTTTCAGATCATTACATTTCACTCCCCCTTTTTTTAAATAATTTTTAAAAATCACGATTGTAGAGAAATAATTCAAAGTAATGGCAGCATAGGCAAGCAGTATTACATTTTTTCACGTGACAAGCAAGACTGTTAATGTTGGATATCTACTAGGCCATGGATTTTTAAAATCAGTTGGTACTTCCTGCGCACTGCTTAACCTAAAATTCTAATATGTTAAATGTCAAATAGACAAGTGAAGCATTGGTAGTCAAACGTCAAATTTCAGTAGTACCAACTTACAAACAAAATGAATGTGCCTACTAGAAATCAAACATTAATGAAAGCCCTGTACTATCTATTCAAAAATTAAAAAACCACCACCTGTTGAATTAGGTTGTTAGCAAATAAAACTCGGCTAGGGCTCATTTTTACACTGCTAAGTTGGTGGTAAAAAAACTTCGAATACTATTTCTACTGGCAAGTCTGATTCAGATGAAATTTGTAATGAAGGTGGTAATTAATAATTGTTTTATTTTTATTTGAGTTCAGTTTTTGATTTTCTTTATTATTACCTTAATTATTACTTACCTACTCAAAGACTAGTGCAAAGTAAATTTATGATTTTTTTTATGTATAATCTAAAGAGTGATTCTAAATAGGAGGTGCTGAGATTTTTTGTGAGCCCAAATATACTAAAAACAACATGTCTTGAATGAAAATCGTAATCATCCTAACCTCAAATTGCGTTTTCGTAGGGTTGAGTAATCTTTTAGTTGTTTTCATAATAAATTATCACTAGGCGACATTATTTTTCTAACATTAATAAATCCCAAGGGTATAATTATTTTATTGCATCTTATTTGTGAATATGACTATAAATTGTTTCAGACACTTCACATTTTAAATTTAGCTAATCATCCCCACTAACAATTTGATGACGGCACCTCAAAATTGTGCATAATAAATGGATTTAAATTGTATAAAATTACACGTGTATTCATGAATCTGTGTTGTTTTTACACTTTTTACCCGAGACATTGAGATTTTTGGGAAAAAAAAAAATCAAAACTGTAACAACATTTTGCATTTTAATTTTGAATCTACAGAACCGAATGTTTTGCAATCTTGGAGACATTTACAGTTATCGTAAGCACGGTAAATTTTTAATGAAAAAAATTGTTGGAAAGTTATTTCGACATAACTTCCCTCGCTTCTGAAGTACCTACAGTCCAACAAATACTGCTTCTCTGAAAAATTATAAAATTTGATTTTTCAGACTTCTACTTTTTCGTGATATATGGAGTAAAGATACTATGGAAGGTACTAGTCACATTTTAATAAAAAAAAAGGTTTCACCTTCTTAAAAAAAGACAGTTGGGAGTCCCAAAAAGGTTTCACATTCTTAAAAAAAGACCTTTAGGGTACCTAAGAAGGTTTTACATTTTTAAAGAACACAGTTGGGACCCTTGAGAAGGTTTTACATTGTAAAAAAAAACATTTGGCGCCCCCGAGAAGGTTTTACATTTTTAAAAAAGACAGTTGGGACCCCCGAGAAGGTTCACATTAAACAAAAGAAATTTGGGACCTCCGAAAAAGTTTTACATTTTTAAAAAGCACAGTAGGGACCCCGGAGAAGGTTTCACATTCTTAAAAAAATACACTTGGGGCCCCCGAGAAGGTTTTACATTTTGAAAAAGCCAGTTGGGATCCCCGAGAAGGTTTCACATTCTTAAAAAAGAAATTTGGTGCCCCCGAGGAGGTTTTACATTTTTAAATAAAGGGGGTATTATTCTCACCTTTTCCAGACAGTGAGGTAATTTCATCAATAAAAAATTTGTTATGACATCATAAACACTATGTAGATAATACACAATGCGAGAGAAAAAGAGAAACAAAACGAAAGACCAAGTTTGGAATCGAACGTGCGACGTCCGGTCTGCATTCCTGACTCGTAAGCACTAGACCACAACGGGAATGCCTTACGTTAAACTGTTATTATAGCGTGCATTATGTTTTTGCAAAAATTTGAGGGTAAGGGAAAACTCAAAGCGGATTCCTACATTACACTTATAGGATTATATTGTTATACAATAGTTAAATTAAATTAAACATAGAATTCTTTCAAATGTCGTCATCAAATTGTTGGTGGGGATAACCAGCAAAATTTTGGTTAGCGCATGCAACCATCTACATGATATTTCTAATATACATATAATATTTGACAACAATCGGTCCAGCAGTTTCTGAGATTACGTGTCTAATAAAAATGGACACAGACACCAGACAGACAGACAAACGGAAACGAAAATTTTATTTATTTATTTTTTTTATTATCGCATTCAAATTATTTAGAATTACTCATACAGGTGTTTCAAAAAAATTAATGAATGAGCCAACTTTTTTTATTAAATCAGGAATGGCTCACTCCATTTTCCCGAAAATTTGGGAGTACAATATTGTTATGATTAGTGTTAGACTGCACCTATGTAAATTGATATAAGGACATACATATCTTCATTTAACTAAAAAATTAATAATAATTTGTAAGATCAAATTTTATAATTTTTCGAAAAAGCTGGATGTGGTTTATCGTGTTCTGGGGGGAGGGAAGTTCTGTCGAAATAACCTTTGACCAATTTTTTTATGTAAAAAAATGTTATTCAAATTAAATGGCTCCGTTTTAGATTTCCAACTGAGTTTTAATCATTAAATTAAACTACTTTATTTATGACCGATTTTATTAAATTTTATAACAAAATAACTATACGTGTTAGAAAAGTTTTACTTGTCTACTAACATTATTTGAAGCTGTCTAGCTTATTTCATTAATGTTGGAGACCAAAAATTATAAAATGTCGAAGTAGTATCTAAATTAATGAGAACGTAGGCAACCAATATTACATTTTTTGTCCCACAAGCATATTAGTTATCGAAATGATTTATAGTCATTCCGACAAGAAATTCACATTAAGTTAATTTCAACAAGCTTTTAAAGTTCAGTTAGACTTACTTCAACATGAAGAAATTATTGAGTTTCAAATATGTGTTCCAGTTTAAATTTGTACCTGATCTATTTGGATGTTAGATCGTGTTTCTTTCAGTTTAAAAATATGTGATATTGCACTGACGATTAAAAAAAATTTGCGGCTGATAAGAACTCTGTTTTCTTTTTAGATTTACTGTGTTTTTTATATCCTCTAATTCGGGTTCCTAGAAACTCTCAAAATAATGATATAGAGCTCATTATTTATCAGGATTTGGAACAGATGAGACAGCAAATCGTCCTTGTTTGGGTGGTTTGAGCCGTGAAAACAACACTTCCATACAATATGTATATTTGATTTTGTGACAAGATACAATACCAGAACCACAGCAAAAACCACCATATGACTGCCTGTCATCCCAAAATTGTTGGATGCGTTTGACATTCTAATGACATTGTTCACGTTATTTAGATGTCAAGTTGCGCACCATATTTTAAAATGTTTACGAAAAGTACACACCCTTGTCAAACATATGAATAGCAAAAATTTAGACTGAAGCCACGTATTATTTTAGATGTAAATTGCGGCGTTCATGGATCATTAAAATATCAACAAAGTCTTTTTGTGTCAAGTAGTATATTTTTGTTTGAACATATCCATGATATTTGTACCCTGTACTTCTATTTTAAACGAATAGACACGATGTCTCACAACATGGAGTTCCGGTCTCAGAATTTACGACTTATATACGTCTAATATGCATATCAACCCTCAAGACATAAATGATAGCAATATTTGCATTTAGTTAACAACCCTGAATAAAAAGACCATTTAAGAGCCACTGAACGTCAAACGCTCGAAGCGTTGTTGCTGATGTTTGTAACATTAGCCCCTTTTACACACTAATTTCGAAATGAAGTCCTTACTCGTGCATACTCAGTATTTGTGTATTTTATTACCACAAAGGCATCATGTTACGGTAAATACGACTGGGTTAATCGAAAACTGATCCTCCTTTGGTGTAGCTCGTCGAAAACCGGGCCCGAAACCCCGCCGCGTAATCTCCTCGAGTAGTCAACTTCCTCCTGGAGCACCTAGCGCTTCCTTGGCTCAACTTTTCGCGACCGCCGATTCTCCGAGACCACCTAGTCGTAACGAAGGCTCGGACGGCGGTAGTTCCACCTCCTCGACGTGCGCTGCGTCGGCCCCCTGCACCGCCACCGCCTCCACGACGGTCCCCACCATGTCCCTGGCGAACCACAAAGAGGGCAGGCCGAGGAACCTCGGCCGAGGCGTTAGTAAACCTAAAAAGAATACAGTAGCTTCTTTGTTAGCGCAAAGTAGAGCGTTAGGTGTGTATTAAATCCCGTTCGATTGAGATTGTAGGTGATTTAGGTGAGATTTTAGGTATTAAACCTATGCCTATTTTGGATCCGAACGCTTCAATGAATCAGCAGATGAATCTTTTGAAGTCGAATATATTGGCTGCACAGCAGTATATTTCTGAAGCAGGTGGTGACGAAAAAGCTTTAAATAAATTTTTGCAGGAAAAATTCAGGGGTACTTTAAGTGATTCTAGTACTGTTGATGCCTCCACTGATTCTGATAACCTTACTGATTCTAATCACACAGATTCAGAAATGGAGATTGAAGTCGCCACCAAGAAACAGAAACAGTACGACGAACGCGCCCTCAGAGTGCCCCTGGAAAAAGGTAAATTCAAACATTTTCTTAGTTTTTTTTTTTACTATGTTTTTGTGGTAGGGTGGAAGAGGGAGACCGTCATTCGAGGGCTGACGAAGAGCGGCGGCATCAAGGGGGACGTCACGTACATTGCTCCTGATTCTGCGAATAAATTTAAGCAAATGTCAGACATCACTCAGGTATTTATTCGAATTTTGGGTTGTATTTTTCTTCAATATTTTTTTAATAGTACCTGGAATACCAAAAAAGTACAGACTTGGCAAAAGAAAACTTTACGTTCAGCTGTCGGGTCATCTTGGGAGACTATCTGCAGCCAGTACCACCTGAAATGGTCGCAGAAGGGGGAGAATACATATATCTCACAGAAGAAGATGTTACGAGGAGGTAGGAATTAACAATACTGTGTTGGACTGTGTTTTCTGTCTTCGTCTGACACACTGTAGCATTTTAAAGGCGGACACTATACCTGCGGACGAAGACAGAAACATACTATTTTACAACATCTTGCCAAAAATTAAAAAAATCTGCTTTATTATTCAACCATTGTTAATTTAATTTCTAGATTAGAAGAGCTAAGAACTGCCATGAGAACAAGCTTACCCGTCGAACAACGAATAGAAATGGCCCGAAAGCAGCAAGCAGCCCGAGCAGCCGCAAGAATTGACCGCGAACAGGCCCGAATAGCCAAAGAAATTGAAAGATCCGAACGCCAAGAAGCTGCCAGAAGAGACCGAGAGGCCAGATCTCAACAGCTGTTAGAGGTACGATTTTGTTGTTTTTTTCAATTTGAACATCATGAAAAAAGGTAACGCTCACTGTTGTAAACCGCAACCGTCATTGTGTACTCTTTTTTACTTAAGTGACTTTTTTGATAATTTTTATTGTGAAGGTATAGTATTTTTTTTAAAAAGGGTCGAAAACGGCTAGCGTTCACGCTTGAACAGAAAATTCAGATAATATCAGAAATAGAAGGTGGGAAAACGAAATCGGACGTATCTAGGGAGCTCGGTTTGGCTAGCTCGACTGTAGCAACAATATGGAAGAATCGTGATAATATACTAAGCGCCTATAGCTCTGAAAACCTGGGACGATGTCACAGTCCCAGTAATAACGATTTGTACATTCCCGATATTGCGATGGTATGTCAGTAATTTTGAGAAAAAAACAAACGAATGTTATAGGTGTCAGGTGTTACCAGTTGTTTAAAAAACGACTAACAAGTGCTTAGCACATCGACAGAGTTGTAGTCTTTGATTACATGCCATCTCAGATTAGCTCTAACAAACTTTAATCGATTGCAGTAACATTTTTTCTCTCCAGTCATCTCAGTTTTACAGCTTTACGTCGATATCATCATGCATTTACCTTCCAAGCCACAGTTACTATGCCTTCACCAGATTGTACGTCATCTGCATGGTACATAATGCTTCAGCGCATGTCTTAACTTCATCATCAACTTTTTTTTTAATTTTATTTATTTATTTTGTAAAACATTTCTATACCTTGACTTCAGTCAGGCAAGTTAAGAAATGTTTCTTTAATATATTTTTTGTTATATGTGTTCATATGTTGTAACGTGTTGCATGACAGGCCAAAAGAAAACGCCAGGAGGAACTCGAAAAACATAGACACGAAGAACAGCAACGAAAACAACAGGTAATGAATCCATTTCATTTTTTTTTCTGCGTTAGTTTTTTGAGCTTGACGCCACTAGCTTCATCCAACGCCATGTGCGGTTACTCGTTTCAACAATTTACACATATTCTTTCATTACAGGAGAGAGAATTCAAAAGACAACAAGCAGCCATGTTAAAAGAGCAGGTAAGATTCTTTCCGACACGTTGCCTTTGCTTAATCTTTATTTGTGTGTATAAAATTACCTTTTTCACGTAATAATCATTTTTCATTTGTTTTATCACACAGTAGAATTTTCGTTTCGACCAATATAGTAGTTCAAAAAATGTTTTTGTTTATTCAGTTTGTTAATTAATTTGTGTTTAGTACATGTGTGCATTTATTGTGATTTTGTGGCTTGTGTATATACTGTGATGCTGTTTTTCTCCGTAGATGTACATACAGGAGATCAGTAAACAGCGAGAAATGCTCTACACTGTTGAGTTGGTATGGATATGTATCTCAAATATGAGTGTCTATCCTTTTTCATTCATTATACATTTCGATTTTCATTTAACTTGCTTGCTTCTATACTAAGTTGTGCTAATTTCTTTCCTTGTACTAATTTATTTTATTTGGAATGTGATAAGTTGTCATTTTTACTAACAAAACAAGTTAAGGCTCCCTACGAAAGCATGTTCAAGGTGAAATCTTTGAAAATTACTACGAAACCGCTTTTATTAAAAAAAATATATTCCACGAGCTCGAGGACTATATAAAATAGAGGTGGAAGGTTGTCACTTGCCAAGAGAGTGCCTCCAGATAACAATTATTATTCATGGTTTATTCGAGACAAAGTAACGTCTTTTTTTGTGTAGGACAAATTTTGCAGAACTTGAAACTTTGTAAAAAAGAGCTCCAACGACTAAACTAATTTTCTTAAGTCTATTTATATATATATATTAACCATCAGATTTTTGTAGCCGATCACTTAATTACTTTAGACTTTCTATATAATCTTTGGTAAAAAATTCAAATCTCAGTGGCACTCTCTTGCTTATAAAACGTCCTATTTATATTATCCAACGCCTCCTAATAAAAGCATTTGTGGTGACTTTAAATCTATAAAGTGGCTTAAGTCTTTGAAACACGTTACTGAAACATTTTTTCTTGTTTTTTTATAACAGCCAAAGGGAATGAATAATTAAGATTTACATAATATCAGTATCTACGGTGGCCAGTAGCGTTACTGAAGAACGTCTGTGTCCAGTATATGACAGAACTTCATATAAGTTCTAGAATGAAGTAATTACTTGAGGTTTCTTAGATAATCTATTCACAAATTGGAAAACTCATTTTTGTTATATAATTAAGGAAGAATAATTATAATGTGATTTTTTTTTAAATCCATTCTAAGCCGTTATGAAGAGGTGTTGGATAAAATTTTGTATGGCACATGTATGTTATTTGCGTAAATCAATTGATCTGATTAATTATAATTCAACATAATTGTACCATATATACCGATTAAAAAGGACACTTTTTTTGCTCAACGCTTTACTAATTTTATTTTATAAGTTAATTACTTCAAGTCCATACTTCAAAACAAGCATGATTTTTCTCACTTTATTTTCGACGCTTTCTCAATTCTGGTTCTTTTTTTTACCAGGAACGAGAAAGGCGACGCCAGCACATGGCCTTAGTGAAAGCTTTAGAAAATCGCCGAAAACTAGAAGAACGCGAGAGGAAAAAACAACAACTACTCGCCGAGAAGCAAGCAAACAAAGAAAAGAAACTAGAACAAAGAAAAATGGAACTGGAAATTCTGTCCGAATTGAGAAAACCGTGCGAAGATTTAGAACTCGATCAGAAGCCGTTGCCCGAATACGAGAGGATTCCAGGACTGAAGCTTCCAGGGAAAGCATTCGCCGACATTCTCATGGTGTTTGAATTTTTGCACAATTTCGGCGAAACGCTGGGCTTCGATATGGAGTCTCTGCCTACTCTCGACTCTCTTCAACAAGCTTTAATGCCTAACGAACACTCTTCCGAAGCCGAAGAAGAACTGTTTTCTGTGATGACACATTTACTAGTCTGTGCTATAGAAGATCCGGGTATTCCGAATCCAGCACGTCATACTACCATTCTGGGGCAGAGTCTCCGACAAGCCGACATAACGCACGCCAACTTGTCTGAAATCTTGAGGATTTATTTGTACGCGAATGCCACAGGCGAAGTTAAAGCTCTTACGGGGGTGCACTTCGAGAGGGATAGGGAGAAGAGAGTGGCCGACCACCATCAAAACGACAACGAAATGCAGCAGACCTCTTGCGGGAAGAATTCACAATATTATGAGTTGTTGCACGAAAATGCGACGTGGAAGCTATCCGACATGTTGAAAGATAAACCTTATATGGCCTTATCGCCGACGTGCAAAGCAGAAATTTTGGCCTTTTTGTGTAACGAATTGTTGCAGAATAAGGCGGTGATAAGACAGATTGAAAGCTCTTTAGAAAGTGTCGCACACCAGAAGAAAGAGAAGTGGCTGATGGATACCAAAATTAGGAAGTATGTGGTTGCTTTGGGTGTTTTTCTTTAATTTAGCGTTTTGTTGTTGTGTAGGTTGAGGATGTTGCACAATAGAAAAGTTCGGTCGGAAGCTGTTGAAAAAGCGCAAACTAAAGCGGATGGAGATGCCCAGGAAGGTAATGTGGATTCGCCTTCTTTACACAAGGATGATTTGTTGGACGACGAGGAGAACGAAATGAGTGAGAATGAAAGTGTTGGAACACAGCCAGAAGAGGTAAGTGGTTGCCATTTTGTATGAGTGGATCATTTTGGTTAAAATCATCATTCATCACATGTGCATTGTTAATTGAAATAAGTAATTTTTTTTAATTGTAAGTTTTTAAGAACTTTGGTTGTATTGCTACCGCAGCAAGTAATTTATGAAACAAACAACAAAATTAATGATATCTAAAATTAAATAATTATGTGCAGTGAATTGTTTTCTAATAAACGTCAAAACTATTGTCGCACAATGTAAACAAAAACAACAATGTTTATGTTTCTGAAGGGAGGGAATTTTAATTATTCTGTATCTGTACCGATTACCAACTTGCTAGATTTTAGACTCCCTAAAGAAAGTACAACAATGTTTTCCTTTTTTTCTATGATAAAATGATATTAATATAGATGTCCCATTGTCTTTTTTTTATTCCTCTTTTTTGTGCGTTAAATATCATAGGATCGCTTGAAAAATCCGCACGTTGACAAAGTAACGTATTTGAAAGGCCCCTGTCATATTAAATATTCGCTAGTAGTACATTTTATTTAAATATTAATTATGACGTTGTTTTTATTTATTTCATTTTGACATTTTTGTCATGAAATTTCAAATATAAAGTTTTTTGGACTATCAACTTGCCAGTGTAAAAATAAGTCTTAGAGGAGTTTTATTTAGTACAAACTTAATTCAACAAGTGGTGGATTTTAAATGTTACTTCGCATCTAAAATCTACCCGAATAAATGTATTAATAAAGGTTCATTATTGTTAAAAAAAAATCACTCTACTGTTTGGTTTAAAATATTATCTCAAAAAGTTCTCGTTTCGAATTCAAAATTTTTAGTAATCAAACCAAGAAATTTTGATTTATATTCTCAGTGTTTAGGGATTATGGAACTCCGCAATGAGGAGGCGGAGCAGTAATACCCCTGGCTGTTGGGTACCCACAATACTTTTGCGTGCGAGAATTACTTTCAACAGTTACTTAATAGATTTTTCTTGAACAAATAGTTTATTAATGAATGTCCAATCGTCGCCTGAGAACTTGTTTGGTCCACAGACCGGAGTGGACTCAAGCCAATGTCGACTCTAAACGTTCAAAATTTCTGCAGGAAATGGTTATTATTTAGATGCTTTTATTTACAAACATAATATCACATCTCATATGTTTCACTCGATTTTGACATTCAACATTTTTTTTTTGTTTACCTAAAAATTAATTCTTTAATTGTGTGTGATACTAACAAAACGTCCTAAATTAGCAATACTAGAGGAACCGTAATCTTGCAATAGAATTTTTTCGGGAAAGTGCATTTATTTTTATTTTTTCGCACCATTCTGTTCTGTTTTGTATTAATTTTTACATATTTTTAGTCACAATTTTGGTGTTTATTTTCCATACTTTCCCACTTTTTCGATTTTTCGACTTCTCAACTCTCGATTTCTCGATCTTTTGATTTTTCGATTTTTCGTCTCAGTTTTTTAATTTTTCGATTTTTAACTTTTCGTTTTTTGGATATTTCGATTTTTCAATTTTCCAATTTTTTAAATTTTCGTGTTTCAATTTCTCGATTTATTGATTTTTCAGTTTTTCGATTTTTAATTTTTCAATATTTTAAAATTTAGATTTTTCGATTTTTCGGTTCTTCGATATTTTTTAATTTTTCAAATTTTAACGTTCTGAATTTCCAGTTTTCCGATTTCTCAATTAATCAATTTTTTTATTTTCCCATTTCTCGACTTCCCAAAGTTTCGATTTTTCAGTTCTTCAGTTTTTCGATTGTTCAGGTTTTTGATTTTTTGACTTCGATTTCTCAACTTTTCAGTTTTTTAATTTCCCAACTTTTGGATATTTCCCCTTCAATTTTGTGGTTTTTCAGTTTTTAGATTCTTCAATTCTCCCTGTTTTTCAATTTTTCGATATTTCAGTTTTCGGATTTTTTAGTATTTCATAAATTTTTTGAGTTCTAGATTTTTAGATTTCTCAACTTTTTACTTTTTGACTTTTTTAGTTTTCGTTTTTAAAACTTTTAGATTTTTCAGTTTTTCAACTTTTCAATTTTCGGAATTTTTAAATTTTCGATTTTTTATTTTATTTTTTAAATTTTCGATTTTCCAATTTTTCGATGTTTCGAAATATAATTTGGCCAAAATCGAAAAGTTAAAAATGGAAAAATTAATAAATCGAGAGATTGAACAATCAAAACATCGATACATCCGAATCTTGATAAATCGAGATCTCAAAAAATTGAAAAATCGAAAATTTGAAAATTCGGAAAATTGAAAAATTAAAATAAAAATTACATAAATCGAAAAATCTAGAATTTTGAAAATTATCGAAAAGTTGAGAAATCAAAACATAAAACAGTCGAAAAATTGAAAAATCCAAAGTTTAAGAAACGAAAAACTGAAAATCCAAAAAATAAAAAATCGAAAAAGCCAGAAGGCGAAAATTTGAAGAATCAAAATTTTGAAAAATCCCAAAACTAAAATAAACATTCAAAAATTGAGAAATTAAAAAGTTGGAAAATTGAGAAATCGAAAAACCAAAAAAACAAAGTCGAAAAATTGAAGAATTGAAGAACTGAAAAATCGACACTTTGAGAAGTCGAGAAATGATAAAAAATGGATGGGGTTGAGAAATCGGAAAACTGAAAATTTAGCAACGTCAGAATTTGAAAAATTTAAATTTTGAAGAACGAAAAATCGAAAAATCTAAAATTTAAAACATTGAACAATTAAAATATTGCAAAATTGAAAAATTGAGAAATCCAAACATCAAAAAATAAAATTTCGAAAATGTAAAACTTAAAAATCGAAAACTGAAAAATTGAGAAATGGATACCGCAGAATTTAAGAATTGAAAAATCGGATAACTGAACAATTGGAAAATCGAAAAATTGAAAATCCTAAAAGTAAAAAATCGAAAAACCGACAAATCGAAATATAAGAGGATCGTAAAATTGAACAGTCAAAACATTGAAACATCTGAATTCGATCAAGTCGAGAAATCAAAAGATTGAAAAATCGAAAAATTTTAAAAAAGAAAAATTGGCAAATCGAAAATTTAAATACATATTCGGAAAATTGAAAAACTGAAATAAATAAGAACTGTAAAATCGCGAAATTGAAAAACTTACAATTTTAAAAATTGAAAAATCGAAGTATAAAACATTCGAAAAATTGAAAATCCAAAAAATTAAAACTCGAGATATAAAAAATTCAGGAGTACAAAAATCGAAATATTGAAAAATCCCAAAACTGAAAGAAATATCGAATTAAAAAATTGGAAAATTGAGACATCGAAAAACTAAGAAAGCAAAATCGAAGAATCGTAAGCTTCAAAAATAGAAAAATTGAAAAATCAAAAACGTGAAAAACTGAAGAAGTGAAAAATCGAAACTTTGGAAAGTCGAGAAATGGGAAAATAAAAATAATACTTCAGAAATCGGAAAACTGAAAATTTAGAAAAGTCAAAATTTGAAAAATTGAAAGATTGAAATATGTATTTAAAAATCCTAAAATTGAAGAGAACAAAAATTGCGAAACAATATCATTGAAGTATTGGAAAATCGAGAAATCGAAAACTTGAAGAATGGACAAATTGAAAAAGCCCAAAATTGAAATATTGAAAAATTGAGACATCTAAAGTTGAAAAATAGAGAAATCCAAAAGCCGAAAAATTTCAATAGCGTATTCATAAACCATAAGTTCAGGACTGTGCTACTTTTTAACATTTAAATAACTTTTATTCGACAACATTGTAAGATGACGTCATCAATTCCTGGGGGGCATAAACGGATAAATTTTGACTAACGATATAACATGCTTCAAATGACTATAAATTGGAAAATGTTTTTGATTTCTTTTTTCCAAAAATGTTGACGTCTAAGGTGAAAACTCAACACGGATTCATAAACCGTAAACGGAGGATATAAATTTTAAATTACGTCTACTATTGTAACATTTGGAGATTACGTCATTTCATTGTTGGTGACAAATTTTGGTGAGGGTTTTACCTTTTGAGAATACAATTTGAAGTGTAAATTTTGTCATTCGGGAACATTATGTATGAAATCGTTAAAATGTTCAAGAACTTTGTTCACTTATTCTTTGTAAAGTCCGACCAGATAGTCGAAACGGGTTAGTTCTTCGTAGTGGATGTGTAACAGATCAGCTTAGAGAGGATATTGGCCTGAATGCGCTCTGGTCTGTAGATCAAACAAGTTCTCAGTCGACGCAATAAGTTGCGTAGATACGAAGAAGAAAAGTAAAAGAATTTCTGACAATAAAATGTATGCAAATAATATTTTAAAAAAGTATATTTACCTACCAACGGCAGAGCGTTGAATTTTATTCACATTCTTTAAAAAAAAGTTACAGTTAGAACTACACAAGAGAAAAATATTGAATAGCTATTTAATTTTTTCTTAATAAAAACTTAATAATTATAACCAATAATATTGGGTCTACCTACTCTACTTTAGTACCGAGTTTGTTCTCGCGGTCTACAGTAATAGACCATTTTTATAGTTTTAAAATAATTACGTTCTAGTTATTTGATTTAACAGAATTTGACAGCGTTGTAACCTCGCTCACGTTTTTCCCCATTTTTCCCCTAAACTAAAAAACTAAGTTGTGTGTTGGTTCTGTCTCTCTTCTATTTTTAATAATCACCAATGAGATGTCGAGGAATGCTCGTAATGGCCCTATATCAGAAGGGTCTTCCTAACATTGTTAACTTAGTTTTTACGTACAAGCCCTACCATTCCTTTCTTATCATCACATTCATTTCATCTATTTAGTTGCAACCTTACAGAACTTGTACTTTTTAACAGGAGGAAGATAATAAATTGTCGGGCGAAGAATTGGGCAAGAAATTGGAAAAGTTGATGAAAACTTCCGAAATCCAACTGCAATCTTTGAATTCGTCGACTCACCAACTCCGAGCTACTTGTTTCGGACAAGATCGGTACTGGAGAAGATACTGGAGTCTATCCAAGGCTGGTGGTATTTTCGTGGAAGGTATGGAATCCGCAGAACCGGACATGTTGCTAGAACAAATCCAGTACGACCAGTCCAAAGAAACCATCAATAGTTTAAATGACATCAATAATTTAATGAGAAAAGTTGAAAACATCAACGATATCAATATCGACAAAGAAGTGAGCAGCATCGTCAGTAACAACGAAATCCAAAAAGAAGTGGAGAAAAATCCAGCGAAAACCGAAGATAACGAAAACGAACACAGAAAAACTCCAAACCGATTAGGGGTGTGCGAGAACGGCGAGATACTAGACAAGAGCGAGCGAAATTTAGCCGAATTGAGAAAGAGCGTAGATGACATAGTACAAAACTTAGAGAGAAACATAGAAATAGAGAAAGAAAGGCGCCTCAGGCAGGAATCTCAAGACAATAAACTGAATAACCACATCAACGACGGCGATAGCAAAATAAAGACGGAGATCACCGACGCGGAATCCATCACTAACAAGAAATTTAACTTGTTCGAGAAACTGGGCCAGTGCATGGAGCGCGAGAACAAATCAGAGGAAGACCTGAAAGCCGAGGTAAAAGCAGAGGTGAAGGAAGAACTGAAGAACGAGATTTTGAACGAACTGAAGAGCGACATTAAAGGTGAGAGTAAGAACGATAGTAAGAGCGAAGACGAGAAATCGAGCGAGAGTGAGCATAAGTGGTTCAGTATTCTGAGCAAAGACGGCACTTGTGACGGGGTTTATTTGACAGCCGGAAACCGCTGGGATAATGGAGGCGTCGGGGCTTGTACCAGGGATAACTTAACCGAGTTGAAAATTCCCGTGTTCCCGCCTCCCGGTTCAAATTCCTCTTCGACCAATTATCACAGCTTGTGTGATAGTCCGGCTCCGTTGCAAATGACAGCCGAGGAAAGTGCGCAGCTGGAACACATTAAGAAACACGGAATGCCGAAGGCGTGCGACAGAAAGTCGGTGCCTGTAGATCAGAGGTACGGTTGGTGGAGGTTGACGGATCCGGAACAGTTGAAGGAACTTTTGGATAATCTGCACGTCAGAGGAGCGAGGGAAAAAGAGCTGAAGAGAACGTTCATTAGTATTATGCAGACGATGTATGAAAGACAAGGTAAATTCTATATTGAGGAAGGTCAGAAGGATTTGACCGAATTGCCCCTTGAGGGATTAGAGAGTGTCAAGTTGATGGAAGGTGGAGCCCCGTTTCCGGATGACGTGGGGGCCTGGAGCCCATCCATTGCCCATAGAGTAGATCTCTCGCTACTGGAGCAGGTGAGGTTCTTATTGTGTTTTAATTTAATAAACTGAATCACGAACGAGTAGAACAATTTATTATTATTATTATTATAGATATAAGTCGTCACCACACATAAATACCTACATTGTTCTCCACACACTTAAAAAATCCCATCAGTGTCCCAAAGTCACCTGTCAAACAAATCATTCAATTTATTATTAGGTGGAAGCCTTAGAAGACAAAGTTGCCAGCGCCAGCATGCAGATAAAAGGCTGGAAGATCCCGAGCAGGGACGTTCAAGACATTCCCGCGGACGAAATAGTTCCGCTAGTTCGAGATCGACTCGCCTCGCTCGAGGTGAACATCGAACGTCGCTACTTGAAACCGCCTCTAGGCAACAAGTAAGTATCGCCGTCTACAGCTGAGATTTGTTGATATTTGACGCACACTAGGCCAACCTGCATCAACATTTCCAGTGCCGGGGAACAGAACTTGGCCGCGATCGCTCAAGAGGCTTCCGGGGGAAGTGCGACAGCGTCCAACCAACCGCTGGCGGATCCCAACGAAATCCCGAAGGGATTAGCAGTGTGGCGCGAAGCCGTCAACAGGGCTCAAACGTCCGCCCAGCTGGCAATGTGTCTCTACTCGTTGGAGTCTTCCATCGCGTGGGATAAGAGTATCATGAAAGCTGTGAGCTCCTCTGATGTTTTTAATAAACTGAGAGCCCGCAAATATAACAGCAAGCTCAGTGTGGGTGCTTGTGCTTCTTTTAGTTTTTAGTTTGCACTTTGACTTAATTTAAGGGGACGCTAAACGAAAACGATTCGCATTTTTTTGATTCGTTGCTACTTATACGAAGTTTGAGCCAAAGAATTAAAAGTGCTGCAAGTGTACAAAGAAGTGTGGTTCGCTTTCGCTTAACGCCTGCTTAACGTGTGGTGAAAATATTGATCACGTACTTAAGATTAGTGACTAACTGCATGTCTTTAATTTTATTTGCATGAGTTGTATAGACGATTCTATTTGCCCTCATTTTTCACCACATTTCAAACTTCTTTCACAGAACATCAAATTACCTTTGACGCTCTGTTATAGAACTACTCTTACCGTTGTTTATTTAAATTAATCAGCGCAACAGCTCGATTTAAACTAATTTTAGTGGCTGTGTGCACATGTTTTTTAACTAATTTAACATTAATAATGTAAGATTTCGCGTCTGAGAAAATCTCAAAAATAATTATTTTATTACAGAACTGCCAATTTTGCCATAGTGGCGACAACGAAGACAAACTTCTCTTGTGTGATGGCTGCGATAAAGGTTATCACACGTACTGCTTCAAACCTAAGATGGAAAATATTCCTGAAGGTGACTGGTAAGTTCAAAATGTCGTGAGTCCTTCTTTGAAGTAAGCCAGATAATTTATTACTCCTGGCTCTATTTCAGAGGCGAAGGAAGTTCTGTCTAAATCACTACATTTTTTTACATTTTAACCCATGTGAAAATTCGTTTCACAAAAAAAACTGTTTTGATAAATGTACTAATTAATATCAATTCATAACAAAGAGGATTTTATAAATTTTCTTTGTGTTGGAATTTCGAGAAGGGTAAAATGCACGAATTAACAAGAATTAAATTAGTTCTGTTTTTTTTAACGATTTATACGGAGTGAGAATTATTAGAAATAGAAAAAAGTCCTTTGAGAACTAAACTCTAAAATTATTTTTTACTATACAAAGTGTTCTGTGTTAAAACATTTTGTGGAAAGATAGAGAACATGAGATTAAATTTTCGTGTACAGAGTGTTTATAAAAAATGTTTTAATTGTTACAAATTTTCAAATATCAATAGTCAGCTTTTTCATACAGAATATCTAGATGTATATTACACTGCATCTTATGCTATTTTTGCCCTCTTTTTTTGCTGTGAATTTTCTATATTTAAAGTTGATAGTGTGATCCCGAACATTCCGCCCAAAATTGAAACATGGACACAAAATTAATCTGAAATTTGTACTCCCGAAGTTATTAGTCGGATTAAATGAATTAAAAACTTCAAAGCAACCAAAGTTTCATGTCACCACCCTATAACAACAAAACTATGAGAATCTACATGATGTTAAATTCAATAAATCAAAATTAATTAATCAAGATTACATCGTGAATGGAAATCCCTATCACAAATGTAAAATAAATAAAATGTTAAATGTGGTCGAAATCATAATAATGCTGCTCGGTACACACTTCGCTTTGAGAGGAGTGTCCAAGAATAAACGTTCCAAAATTCAAGTCATAGAACACGTAAACGATTACACAAAATCAGAACGAAATCTTTTTCCCACTTTGAATTCACGATGAAAATTCCCAAGTGAGAATATATTAAATTTAAATAATAATCTAGGAAAAACCATCCATCTCCTTAGACATATTACAATTTAAAATGTTATAAAATATTGCATATCTCATTTGTATTGCTTATTTCTTCAAGAAACTAAAATGTCTAATTTCTAGAGATTTCGTTAAATAAAATAACAATTTTTATCCCTTTTACCGAACGCATCCTGGAAATCCAACACATGGTCCGTCACTACAATAGTTACTGTGATTGTTTACTGTTTTAAAAAACACATCCACATATGAGAACAATGAGGACAAAAACTGGAATGTCGATATTTCAAAATTGTAAAATTTTAGAATTGTTTTATAAAATTCGATTTAGTTACAACAAAGCGCGTGTGTGTATTTACCCTTGCGATTTTTTGTGAAGGGTTGACATTGCCAAAAAATTTCAAGAAAATTTGGAATAACGTGGCAACGTCGCATCAGAATTTCAACAGTAAACTGGTTGTAAAGCCCAAGGAGAAGTCAAGCAGAATATATAAAAATTATTAAAAAAAGACAAGTTGTGTGTTCTATGCTTCAAAAACAGAACACTCTGTATAGTTTAAAATAATTTTAGAGTATAGTCTTCAAGGAACCGTACAACTCTAATAATTAATGCGATATCAAGGACCGCGTACTGACTCACCCTGTATATGGCATAATTTGAAATAAATCTGATTAAAAAACAAAGGAAATTTAAAAAAAAATACTTAATATCAAGATTCCTGTCAAATCCATATTTTTGTGGATTCGTGAAGGATAAAACTCATCAAACGATTAGAATTTTTGAGAGATGATTTAATCTTTTCTTCAACGGCCATATTTTAAAATGATTAAAATCAAATTTGGTTTCAACAAGATGGTGCCCGCCCATAATAATTTAATTTGATTAATTTATCATGGTGTTCCGCCCATAATTTAATTTACTTTAATTATTTTAATAATTCTGTTATATTTAGTACTATTTGGATAAAATTTCAATGTTTCTAGCCATTTTATTTCGGACAGGTGTATAATCGTCCTGGTTTTTTCATTTCCCTTTTCATTTTTGTGCGAATTTATTCCATCTTTTACACACAATTATTTGGAAAGACGTGTTTGAAATTTGAACTGTTGCTGGTTTTGCCGTAAGTGATATCAACTTAAGCATTAAATCAAACGAGTTGCATATCAACTCAAGTGCTACACCATTGAAAAAAAAAACATTTAATATAACGTACTTGAAAAATGTATTCTATTATATTTTAGTTACAAATACGTATAAAATTAATGTCATTTCCGGAAAAACCAAAAATTCGTTTTACAGATTCTTTGTGTAATTTTTCGTTGTTACTAATTTATTTTTATTGTTAGGTATTGCCACGAATGCATGAACAAAGCAACCGGCGAACGTAACTGCATAGTTTGTGGCAAGAAGTGTTCGACGACAGGAACCAGATTAATTTTATGCGAACTTTGCCCTCGCGCTTATCATACAGACTGTATTCATCCTGTTCTGCACAAAGTTCCTCGAGGCAAATGGTATTGTTCCAAATGCATATCGAAAAAGCCTCAAAAGAAAATGCGTAAAAACCATGCCAAATCGAACAAACAAGATAGCGAACTGTCCGATCATCCTCCTTCTAGGTAAACTAACCCGTCTAGAAAACACAAAAAATACTAAATTTATTTTGTACAGTCCTGCACCATCTCATAGTTCCGTAACAACCAATGAAGATCAGGGAACAACGAATTGCAATCAGAGTGATGTCTCCAATTCGAGTCTAGGCAACGTAGGCTCTCCGTCCACACAAACCTCCAAGAAAGATCGCGTATCGAAGAAGTTACTTAAAGAACTCGCTCCTTGCAAAGTGATTTTAGAAGATCTCGAATGCCACGATGACGCGTGGCCGTTTTTGCTCCCAGTCAATACGAAACAGTTTCCGACGTACAAGAAGATCATCAAGACTCCGATGGATTTGTCCACGATTAAGAAAAAATTATATGATGTCAGGTTTGTTGTTTTTGTGACGTTTTGCGTAGCGTGCTGACTGTGGTGGTATTTTTAGTTATAAATCCAAGGAAGAATTTTGTCTGGATGTGAGGCAGATATTCAATAATTGTGAAGTCTTTAACGAAGATGATAGCCCAGTAGGTAAAGCAGGTCACTGTATGCGGCAGTTTTTCGAAGCTCGATGGAACGAGCTTTGCATTTCTAACAGTTGAGGACTGCTTTATCAAAAAAGACCTTACCATCGACGAACGAGACCCCCGGAAAACAGTGTTTAAATTGCATTGAGGTGTGATGAATACTTTTTTATTATTAATACGGTTTCAAACAAAAACTATACAGGTATTTCCAGTGTGTGATATTGACTTTGAAAATGTATACTTGAGCTTTTTATTGTTCATAAATTGTAATTATTTGTATACAATTAAAAAAAATCTTGAAATTACGCATCACTTAACTTCGTTGACTTAATAAGAAAAGAATGTGATTTTTTTAGTTGGTTTCTCAGCTTGTATTAATTTGTATTTTTGATATTGTGTATTTTTTTATTTAATTATTTATTTAGAATAACAGCTTTTGTTGATAAAATGTCAATGATCTTTATTTATTTATTTTTTAATGACGTGATCTTTGCTATGGTTTTTTACAGAAGTATGTTTCAGTTGCATTTGACTTTAGATAGAATAAGAGAGTTTGTAAAAATGTAAAAAATTTCTTTGACACTGCATCGCTCAACTTAAATTAAATGTCTCTCTAGGCTATTACAAAATGTTTTTATGTAAGCTGAACATAGTTCTCAAAACGAAAGGATGTATTTAAATAAATGTGTTTGGTAGGCTAGTTCTCTGCAGATAATCTGCAGTTTATAGAACTAGGTTATGTATTTTAATGTAAGATATTTATATTAATTATATTTACTTATAAATGTCGTTTTTGTATTAATCTAAATTATTTCACCACACCCCAACTTACCACTTCAGGCGGTATCATTCCGGTTAAATTAATAAAATAATGACGTCATTGTAGTTGTGCTTGATGGGGGCCTAGTTATCATCTATTGGCTAAACAGAACAAGTGGCCTCCATGAATTCCGTACTGGCGATATTGCTATGATATCCAGGGGCTCCTTTCTCTGCTTTTATTTGTAGCGATTCCCCTCGTCTTCAAAGAATCGGATCTACTAATTTAAAAAATATATCATTTAGAACTTTTATTATGGTTGCCTTAATCAATTTTTTTAATTCAAAGTTTGTTTAATACATTATTACGATATTATAATAAATAATAACTTGAAAATAAAATGTATTATACAAATGGTCCTTCGAAAAAAAAAATATATGAAAATAAAAAAGTTCCTATTAGCGGAAAAATCAGTATGGAGTGCTAGTGGAAACTAATGGAATCCAGAATGTGAAAAAAGGAAAAAAAAAAGCGTTAATCGTAAATTTTTTGTTAACTACTTGTACTGGAACTCTAAAAATTGCTATATTTCAATTGGCGATTTTGGAAGAACGGTAGAAGTTTTCGAAGAAACAAAGCCGAAAATGCCTCCTGGATGTCGAAATCTGCAATAAAATGTATAGCGCATATATAGCATTTTCGAAAATGGTCGAAAATGTCAAAAGTGTCAAAATCAGTCATATCTTATAAAATGGTACCCCTGCCCACCCGCCCTCTCTTTTCTTGGAGAGTATGTCATTTGCCAAAATTAGTTTTATCTTAGCAAGTGCTACTAGTGCTAGTCTCGCCCACCCCCAGTCTTCTCATCCTAAGGACTAATTTTATTTCTGCGCAGTTTAAGCTCATTCAATTCATTCAGACCGGATAAAATTAATCACTGAAATGAGGGCAGGGTGGGTGGGCGGGGCTAATTGTGTTCTTCTTTGGAGTGCTAGTGGCAACTAATAGAATCCAGAATGTGAAAAAAATCCTAAAAAAGCGTTAATCGTAAATTTTTGTGTTATACTACTTGCTACAGAAACTCTAAAAATTGCTATATTTCAGTTGGCAATTTTGGAAGAACAGTAGAAGTTTTTGAAGAAACAAAGCCCAAAATGCCTCCTGGATGTCGACATCTGCAATAAAATGTATAGCGTATTTTCGAAAATGGTTTAGAAATGGTCGAAAATGCCCAAAGTGCCAAAATTAGCCTTATCTTACGAAATATCATTGGCCAAAATCGGTCTTATCTTAGGAAGTACTAGCCCCGCCCACCCGCCTTTTATTTTTTCAGAGGGTATGTAATTTGCCAAAATCAATTGTATCTCAGGAAGTACTACTCCCGCCCACCCGCTCTCTGTTTTCTTAAAAGATATATCATTTTCCAAAATCAGTCTCATCTTAACAAGTACATACACACCATAGTGATCATGTGACGGAATTAATTAAAACAATTCATGAGAAATTGTACAATTTTCTGGATGATCACTGGGTTGAATGCGAACTCGAAACACGTTTTAAGCAAACGTACTCTCATTTATTAAATTTCATCTTTTGTGAAACTCATTCCTGTCACACTGCAATTATTGATAAATGTGTTAGATTAACCACTCACAAATATTTGCGAGACAAGAAAGAGAAAGGTATGAGAAAGAAACTTACCACTGGTCATTGTAAAAAAATGAAAAAATTTCGCCAAAAATGAATGAGGCCGCTTCCCCATCTACCCGTTTTTGCGAATCTGCGTACGCGTATCGTTGGCATTCGCAAGCTTGCATTTAAACATAGCTTCCCCATTGCGTGCGTATAAACGTAAAACGCGTAAAGGCGTAGCCACGGTTGTAGAATAGATAGGTTTGTACACTAATGGCTTGGGATGGCGACGCTTTTTTTCGATCCCTATATCCATGGAAAGGACACAGACAGCTAGCGCCGCTACCTTGTCGAGCGGAAATCGTTCTAGTTATTTTAGGGATTTTGGTTTACATTGCTTTATGAACAATACAAAATTTGTAAATGACATTTGATCGGAGTCGATAAATACGATTTCTTTTATTAATTACATCGGTTATAGACAGATGCCTATAGAGTTCTGTGTCCCTAAAACGTCAAAAACCAGGCGACGCGATCGGCAATTGGCGTCGCTGACCAGGGATATGCAAATGTATGCTAGTGTATCAACCTATCTATTCTACAACCGTGGACGTAGCATAAAATATAAGTTAATATAACCTCAAAATATAACCAAGTTGTCATCAGATCTGTCATTACTTTCATATGTAATTCGAAATGGGGAAATATAATAAGAAAGTAGCAGTAGAGCTGTGTCAAGAACTCATCACGAAATTATGTTTTATATACCGAAAAAGGAAAAATAAAGTAAGGAAGATAGCATTAGGTACGAAAAAAAATTATTAAAGTGTACGCCCTGTATCTGGAAGCAAAGAAAGCGAATGAAAGACAGTTTTGGGTGCGACCTATTTTTACTGTAACAAACCGATTATTGCAAGGGGCCAGTGCAAATTTGTCACACACAATGAGAGATTCTGATCCGGAAAAATATTTGAGGTTATGTTTGCAAACCATTCGAATTTCACCGCCGTAGCACCTCTTTTCTACGCGTAAAAGTTAAAGTAAAATCAACTCGAAGCGAAGTGACCTTGGATACGCGCGTACAAAATTTTCTTGGATTTCATTGGTCGAATGGAGATACGCGACATTCGCACTTCGCAAATACGCGTTCATGGGGAACTTACCTGACAGTATTTTTCTAAATTTATTTACACATCTTTAGGTATGTTAGTAATATTTATTTGTGCAATTTTAATGTTGGTTTGTATGGTTATTTATTTTAATTGTGCAATTCTAATTTTTTGTTTTTCCTTTAAATGTGACGAGGCTGATTCTTTGTGATTTTGGCCAACTGCAGGATGCAGAAGACCTTCCTGTTTTACGAGACTAATTTTATTTTTGTTTTATGTTTATTTTGAATTTATGAACTGAAATTCACACCAAATTTTTGTTGACGTTACCTTAAGTTCGGAAAATAAATCAATTTTCCAAAATTATTTTCAGCTATTCAGAGATTTCTGTTTTTGAAGGGTAATCTTGTTTGTTTCAGATACAATATTCTATATATTTTTATACCGTGCGATTTTTTAAATTTCTGTTCTAGTGGGTTATGACGTGTACGTTACCAATGCAATTGAAAGAAGAAGAAGTTTAAAAGATCACCCTGTATATTTTGATTGACGTCTTCCTAAGGTTTAAAACTGCAACAGCTTCTTTTCGAAAATCGGATTCGACATTGCCAAATTATTCGAATTTTCTTGAAAATTTTTGTTAATCGAAAAATCTCAATTGGGTTACTTTTAAAATCTGGATTACCACAAAAATTGACCACTTTAGACATATTTCAAGTTTCTTGTTGTCGAAATAAGTACACGTATTAAGAAAAAAAAAGGCAAAATGTAGCCCCGCCCACCCACCCCATCTCAATTGTGATGATTTTTTTCTGCATCGTGAGCCAAGCAAAATTAAGCTTAACTGCAAAATCCTTATTTCTCTACGAGAAATTAAAACATGTTTTTGAGTATCCTGTTATTCGAAGAATTACTACGTATATTAAGACAACAATAAAGCCAAAGATTAGGGACCCACCCATATCCGCCCCGATCTTAATTTTCAATTCTGATGAATTTTTCATTCGTTGGCAGATCGAGAGGCGGGGCTTAATTGCTTAATAGATCCATATTTGTCTACAAGAATTTACCATTTTAAGCATGTTTTAAGTTTCTTGTTCTGAAAAGACGACTACGTATACTAAGAAAATGGGAAAAATATAATATTTATAGTTTTAAGAGTTTTGTTGTTCTTGAATTTTATTTATTTTGTTTTTATTTTATTAGTTTTATATTTCATTTTATTTTTACTGTTTTTGTTCATTGTGTGCATTTTTTTTTTTAATATTCTTATGTATATTACTTATAAGAATTTTATTTCATGCCTAAAAAATAAAAATAATTCTAATATTAAAAAAGGCAACCCGCAATAGCACCTAAAATCGGCAACCCCCAACACGTTATTTAAATTACCCGCTCACTGAACCATAATGTGGCTCATTCGTGTTAACGTCAAAATGCATGGAGTCTGCGCTTCTTTAAACTTAATGTTCTGTGGATCTGTGGTGGATGTCATGTGGCATGTGGTAGATTGGTAGATGACTAATATACAAATGTGCATATCGATGTGTCAAATCTGTCAAACTTTTAAATGGCAGTAATTACGATTGTATTTTTCAAAAATTTGTGAAAAATACAGATCACAAGTAAAGTTTATTCACATAATAGTTGTTAATTGTACAGTGAATATTCCGGAGTTCGTGGAAAGTAGTGAATTTATTACAGAAGATTGAGGTTATGTTGTTATTTTTATTTTAATAATTAAAACAATAACAATGGAGTCGGCACAAACTCAACAAGTAAACGTTTATCGAAAAATGTTGGCTGCATCAGTATGTAGCATTCTAATGGAAACGGGATACGACAATGCGGACAAGGACTGCATCGGAACACTTACAGAAATGATTCAATGCTGTACGTTCGTTCACCACAAAAGAGACGTATAATCCTAAAATACTTTCATTTTAGTTCTAACAGAAGTTGGATCGGTCACAAAAAATTATTGTGAGCTTAGTGGCCGCTCTGAACCATTAGTGGCAGACGTGATCCTAGCCTTTGTAGAAATGGGGCACAATTTTAACGATTTAATGGTATACACGAAAGGAATGAAACATTCAGTTCTGCCACCACTACAACCGCAACAATCTCAAAAACAACTGAACATGTTACCAGCCGGATCTAAACATCCGCTGCCACCATACATTCCACAGCATTTGCCCCAGTTTCCAGATCCTCATGCTTACGTTAGAACACCTGTAAGTAAATACTCAGTAAGAATGAGCGAAATTTGTTTAAATTGAATTTTCAGACGCATAAACAACCAATAATTGACTACGAATCAGTGAGAGAAAAGGCGGCCATACAGAAAAAAGACATCGAGAAGGCTTTGACAAAATATTTGGCTAAGACAAGCCCTACTCATAATTTGTTTGACACAGATGAAGCCAATATCTTCCCATGTAAGTTTTATGTTCAAATAATATGAGTCATTTTACAAGTGTTAAATTTTAGTGATTGCATGCAAACCTGCATACCCTCCATATCTGAGCGCACTAAGCCCCCAAGATCAAATATTTGATCCTGAGGATCTCGAATATGATCACAAAAGTCAGATGATTCAGCAATCAAAAGAACAAAAGTCTAAAGAAGAAGCTGAAAATAAAGATGAAGAGGACAATGAAGAAACTTTGAATGATTCCGTCAAGAGTGAAGAAAATACTACAACGAATGTGTACATTGACAATCCATATCTAGCTGCAACTAAGCTCCCCAAGAAAGATGAAATGGATGTTACGTAATATGTAAAAACAAATTAAAATTTATTTATTTCTAGATAAAGTTATTACGTTATAGGTAACTTTTTTTTTACATTAATTTCATGAGTACTAAAATTAATACAATCAGATGAACGTTGACGATGTTGTTGTCACTGTGACCAAACAGAAATGGTTGAAATAAAGCTTCTTCTTCCAAACTTGTCATCCAACCAACCACACTTTCGTTTCTGTTTTGTACTTTAAGCCACAACATTAATGGTTGAAAGTATTGAAGCATTGCATCTGCTGATAGTCGGTCAGACTCGCCCCTCGTTAACATTTTGATTATTTCTTTCCAGTGTCTAGCCCTTCCCACCTTTAGTATATCACTGAAATTATATTTTATAATTTTTTCATTTTTAATTTTTTTCAAAAACGTACGACAATATTCGCCCAGCTTCTCTAGACCTATAAATATCACAAGTATGCAAAGTCCCTACATGACCTGACGCGAAACACATTGAACTATGAATCTGAAATTCAATTAACAACGCAATATAGTATTTCATGTAGGGGATATCAGCAGGAATGTGGCGTTTAGCTGCCGCATCAAAATGACTTTCAGTTCTCGGAATGGGAGGGATTATTCCTTGATAACGAATCCGTAGTTCCCACCAAGCCGAATTCATGTTTTGTACCCCATTTTGAAAAATTTCGTAACGCCACTGGAACACACAAACAAAATAAATGTTTAACAGTAAGAAATGCGAACTATTACCGCATCCACGAGGAAAGCAAATGGTGCAAAAGCTACTTTTCGTAAAGCCATAAGCATTAAAAAGTTAATGTTAGTTTCATAAGCGTCTGTATTTTCGTTATGTAGACCAACACGATGTAAATGTACTGGATTAAAAACTGACAGAGAAATTGCATTAGCAACACCTTCGTGAAAGCTCGGATTCGCTCCATCTCGGTATAAGTAGGGTTGTTCCGCATAATATAAGTAGTACTGAATGTGCGCCATTTCATGATGCGTGGAAACTAAATCGTCCATGGTCACCTCAGTGCATTGTTTAATTCTGTAATCAATTTTATTGCAAAAGTCCCAAGCGCTAGCGGTACATTGAACTTTTCTATCATTAGGTCGGTCCAACAGCGAAAATCTCCAAAATTCCGGAGGCATTGGTTTCAGACCCAGAGATGTATAAAATTCCTCAGCCATCTGGAACATTCTGCAAGTGATACATTTTTGTATGGAAACCTATCTGAATTTGTATCCACATACCGGAAAGTTGAACATCAATTAATCGTGACAAGGACAACTCACCTAAGTGGAGTGAATCCTTGTCGTAGCATTTCGTCTGTCACATCAATGGGTTTATACTCTGGATACGGTGCCACCAAATCGATTATTTTACTCCAGTCTTGAGCCCAAAGGTTACCCAAAACGTGCGCCGGCAGCGGGCCTTCCTGACGAATCACATCTGGACCATAAAACTGAAGAAGTTTTCTCCGAACGTACGTAAACAGTTCCCGATAAAGAGGCTGCAAATTTCTCCAGGTTTCGGAAATTTCGGTTTCAAAAGACGGGTCTTCGTAAATGTAGCGCATTTCCTCTCCGGCGTCTAGAAAGCCTGAAACATTCCTATAGTCACTTATAGTCCTGATTTATTACTCACCGTTCATTCGTGCCGCTTGATTCGCTATTTGTACATATCTCATGAATTTATTTTTCAATGGTGGTCCAGTTTTATCGTGCCATTCACGCCAAACGTGGATTAACTCGAGGTTGTTGCGAGAGTTAGCCATCAGTCGGGTTACATCAGGATCCAGCTCCAGGTCACAGTAAAGGCTTTCATGACTATTGAAAGGACAAATGCGTACGTGTCCGTAGATGTCCTTCATTTCTGATATAAGGTGGTGGATCTAAATATGATTTAATAAAGTTATTATTGAGGGATAGGGGAAAATGGTACCTCGTTGTATTTTTCGTCGTTTAAGCTAGACCTGCTGTTGGTTACCAAAAATTTCAGCTGCCGCCTAACCATTTGATCTGGAAGCCTAGTCCAGTCGAACGTCATTGCGCGCTTCCAAGAGAGTTTATCAAATTTTGCCTGTAACATCTGTTCTTCTATCATTCTTCGCTTGTTGTGGTCGGTCATATTGGTTGAATACGTCCATCGTGCAGAATGGACCCGGAAACATATACCGGATGCTTCGTTGTCGTATTCCCGCAAGAACTGGAGGGCTTCACCTAAATTCACGTTCGTCCCCTAAATATACAAGATCTCATTAATATTAAATTTTAGTGGTAAGGCTAAATTAAAAACTTCTTTTAATCATCTTTTCATAAATAATGGTAAATGAAAATGTAGGTATTGTACAGTCACTACAGTCAATAGAATACTCAAGCAATTATAACGGGTGATCAAAAAGTTTTCAGATTAGAGTCCTTGCTAAGATAAGATTGATTTTGGTGAATTTCATACCCTCTAGAAAAATAGAGGGCGGGTGGGCGGGGTAATATCTATTAAGATACAGCCGTTTCTAATTTGCAGACCACAGTTTATCTTGCAGACTGGGGGTTAAAAATGCTCCAATCAAGTTAAAATTCGACATTTGCTTATTTCTCAATACGAAGATTGTTGATACAAAATTTCAATCCGTTCGGAGAAACCGTTAAAAACTACCCCCACAACAAACTTGCAGACTGGTCCTTAAAAATACTCGTACTCTAATCAAGTCAAAATTTGACATTCGCTAGTTTTTCTATACGGGGATTATTGATGCAAAATTTCCGCCTATCCGGAGAATAGGGCTTAAAAATACTCCAGTCAAGTCAAAACTCGACATTTGCTTATTTATCAAAACGAGGATTGATTGTTAATACAAAATTTCAATACATTCGGAAAAATCCTTAAAAGAAACAAACTAGGGATTAAAACAGCGTCGGACTGGCTCGCCCGGCTACCCGGCGATCGCCCTAAAAGCTCAGGGTCCCTAACGAATCACTTCAAAAAATTGTTTTATTATTTAAATTTAATTTAGTTTTTTTAATTTATTTTGTTATTATTTTATTGTTAATTATTAATTAATTAATTAATATTTAAATTTAAAAAATATATAAATTACGAATATAGGAGTATTTGTTATAGATATGTGAATTGCGATAATTTCAATTCATGTTTATCACTGTTAGATAATAATCAGTTGCTACTATGTAAGAATGCATAAGTTCGGCATTTTTTCGTTCATTCTCTCATTTTGGGGTGTTTTTACACGTCACTTTTGCTGTTAACTTGGTCCATTCAGTACATACTATATGCTGGTTTTGAGTTCTTTGAGGTAGAATTAAACTTTCATCATCAGTCAAAAAATACCAAGTGGTGTCGAGAAGAGAAAATTTGAAATTCATAGGAAACAAAATCTTAAACATATTTTAAAGAAAATTAGAGACATTTTTAATTTCTGAGAAACCTAACTTAAAAAAAAAACGTTTTGAGAGAAAGTTTAAATTAATAATAGAACTAAACTTAATTTTATTTGAATTTCAAAAAGAACCCAGAAAAGTGCTAATTTCTTAATTAACTATTATTAATCGGAAAACAGATAAAGATCCGTTATAGTCAATACGAGGCAAAATTGTCTTCATATGTAGGTCTTACAGCCTTTGGATGGTGTCCACGTCCATTTCTCTAACTTTCTGGTAATTTGTTCTTCTAAATTGGCTTACCAGCCGTTGTTGTAAACCTTTCTACTTAGTATTGCCCACGATACACAAGTGTATCGTGGTATTGCCCAAATTTTGTTTTCGATTGTTCGCACTTGGGGCGCTACGGGGGGATTATCTTAGGTACAAAATTTATATTATTTCTTTCTAACCAATCCCTGGACATTGTAGTATAATGGCATCTTGCTAAATCTGGTCAAAATATTACATCGTCGTTATTATGGTGTTCCCATATACAGGGTTAGTCACGAGAGAATTACTTCTGAAAATTATTTTTACGCAACCCAAAATACTAATACCCTGTACCACTTGATATTACCTAAATTTAAAATGAAATGCCTAATCCATGATTGCTTTGACTTTGGCAGTGTCACTTTGACGTTAATTAATTTTTAACATTTTTTTTTCATCGTTGACTCGTCTCTAGAGCCCCATTGGATGGACGACATACAGTCAGATCAATCTGGGCTATACTGAAGCCGTAAGTGCTCTACCAATGTTGTTTGCCGCTAATGTGCATGTGTTAATTCGCCATCTCCACGTCACCTAGAGCCTCTTCGAAGTGCAAATCTGCAACCTCTGGACTTCTTCGGCCATCCATTTACAAAAAAGCCGTAGCATCCCCCCAAAATGCCCAACATTTTCAACAGATTAGGAGTTAAATTATTTACTTACTTGTTTGAGTTTGTGTTGTAACCTTTGAATAAAATGCCGTTAAAGGAATTTTTAGAAATAATTTTCTCGTGATTAATCGGTTGTAAAATATCAAGAGGCACACTGACAAATTTATTAGCGGCGCCGGAGGAGATTTCCGACTGGCTGCGGTACCACCATGGACGTTCGCGTAACCTCATTTTCCACAATTGTCAAAATGAGATTGTCAAACTCAAAGCAATCATGGATTAAGCATTTCATTTTAAATTTAATTAGTATCAAATGGTACATGGTATTCGTATTTTGGGTTGCGTAAAAATAATTTTCAGAAGTAATTCTCTCGTGACTAACCCTGTATTGTTATGTATTGACCGTGTCACTTCTAATACGGCCAATGAATGGCGCTGAACCCCCAGCCGAAGATGTAGCCCATCAAACCAAAATTTTATCTTCAGACTTTGCCTTCGACTTAATTTTATTTGTAATTTCTTCTATATTGTTTGTACAAAATCCATCCTTCCATCTCTGAATAGGAAAACGAAAATATTTTTCATCGCCCAGCACAACCACACGATTGTCCAAAAAATGATGAATTCTCAATAGCCAGCAACATCTGAGAATTCTCTCTAACTACGATGCTGTATGTTTTGAACATTTAGCTCTTTTGCTGTCTCTCAAATTGTCGCTCTGTTTCTGTTATTTTGTTAAATTAAATTTAATTCTGTGCTTATTTGTCTTCTTTTTTTGCTAATTTATATATCATGTGTCCATAGTGAATAGTTCTTTAATGAAATAACGATCACTAGTAGCTAAATTAATAATTTTTAAAGTTTGGTTTTGCGAAATTTTTCAGGGTGGCCGGTTTTTTTGCCGGTCAGTGTATATGCATTAAAGTAAAGTTATAAAAGGTAATAAAACAATATTTTTCATAATTAAGAATGCATGTTAAGATCATTAGGTTTGCGCGAAGGTGGAGATAACACGACGACCGTAGCAATGAATCTTAACCAATTAAAAACTCAAGTAAATTTGCTGCTGCTGCTTTTATATGCTTTCTTATGAAATTATTTTTGTTTTATGTCTAGTATCCCGCAAACGCTTTCGAGCACGCCACTGGAACAACCAGTTTCTCGGAGGACCTGGAAGAACCATTTATGACTCTAGTAGAAAGCGCGGTACCAGGCATTTTTTCAAACTATCTTCCCTCCTCTCATTCTACCTCTGTAATACTATTTCTATTCCTGCCTTGTGCATATAAGTAAGCTCGTAATGTATCCAAATTTTTTGTAAAAGTTTGTCATCAGTACTTGCCAAGATAAAACAGATTTTGGCAAATCAGATACCCTCTAAAAGAAGTGAGAGTGGGTGGGTGGGGCTAGTACCTGCTAATATAAGGCTGATTTTGGCAAATTACAGTTAATTTTAGGTCCCCTGTTGTTTTATTTTTAAATTTAAAACAATCTTGAGGGTCTAGGTATTCCTGTTTGGAAAGAATTTGAAAGTGCTTTGGAGCCCCTAGTGTCTTTTTTTTAAATAATTTAATTAAATTTCTTAGAGGATACGGCATTTGCTCAAATCAGCCTTTTTTTTAGCAGATACTAGCCCCGCCCACCCACCCTCACTTCTCTTAGAGGGTATGTCGTTTCCCAAAATCACTGTTAGGTACTAGCCCCGCCCGCCCTCCCTCTCTTTTCTTAGAGGATATCTCATTTGCCAAAATCACTCTTATCTTAGCAGACACTAACCCCGCCCACCCACCCTCTGTTTTCTTCAAAGGTATTTCATTTGCCAAAATCACTCTTATCTTAGAAGGTACTAACCCCGCCCACCCTCCCTTTCTTTTCTTGGAAGGTATCTCATTTGCCAAAATCAGTCGTATCTTAGCAGGTACTAGCCCCGCCCGCCCACCCTCTGTTTTCTTAGAGGGTGTTTCATTAACCAAAATCACTCTTATCTTAGCAGATACTAACCCCACCCACCTACTCTTTCTTTTCTTCAAAGGTATTTCATTTGCCAAAATCACTCTTATCTTAGAATGTACTAACCCCGCCCACCCTCCCTCTCTTTTCTTGGAAGGTATTTCATTTGCCAAAATCACTCTTATCTTAATAGGTACTTACTTACATTTTACCTTTGTGTTTTAATTTGTGTAGACTTCTTTTCACAACTAGAACCTTAAAACATGTTTAAAATGGAAAATTTGTATAAGGAAATATCCATTGTGCAATTAGGCTCCCCCCTATGATTGCAAAATCCATATTTCCCTGCAAAAATGTACCATTTTGACCATGTTCTAAGTTTCTTGTTGTGAAAAGATGGCCATGTATATAAAAAAAAAGAAGGCACAATATAAGCCCCGCCTACCCACCCTATCTCAATTCTGATGATTTTTTTTATTCGTCGTGAGCCAAGAAGGCGGAGCTTAACTGCAAAATCCTTATTTCTCTAGGAGAAATTAAAAACGTGTTTTGAGTATTGTGTTGTAAAGAAATAAGTATTTTGCAGTTAAGCTCTGCCCCCTTGGTTAACGGCGAATAAAAAAAAATCATCACAATTAAGATAGGGCGGGTGGGTGGGCTTACTTTCTTTTCACAACTAGAAACTTAAAACATGTTTAAAATGGAAAATTTGTATCAGGAAATATCTATTTTGCGATTAGGCACCGTTCCATAATTGCAAAATCCATATTTCCTTATAAAAATGTACCATTTTGGCCATGTTCTAAGTTCCTTGTTGTGAAAAGATGGCTATGTATATTAAGAAAAAAAAGGCACAATATAATATAATTTGATTTCTGGTGTAAAAAATGACACATTTTTGACTAGCTTAATGTTTCCAAAATTTCGTTTCTTGCAAAAAAAATCACCTGAATCCCTCTTTGAGGATATGTCATTTGCCAAAATCAATCTTACCTTAGCAACTACTATCCCCACCCACCCGCCCTCTTCTCATTCCAACGATTAATTTTATTTCTGTTCAATATAAAATCTACCTTTCATTTAGTCCAGATAAAAACAATCATTGAAACAGAGGTGGGGTGGGTGCGCCTGGCTAATTATGTTCTTCTGTTGGGTCGAAATAGAAAATAATAATAGAATCTGGGATGTGAAAAAAGCAAAAAAGAGCCAATCGTAATTTTTTTTGTTATATTACTTATTTGCCATAAAATTTATTTCTTATTTCAGAAGAAAAAAATGAGGGAACGGGTGAGTGGGCGGTGCTAAATTTAATTTTTTCCTGCAGAGTCTTTTATAAGTCACCTAGTACCTGCTAAGATCAAACTGATTTTGCGAAATAAGATGTCTTTTAAGGAAAAATCTACAATCTTTAGTCAATTGTGGGTCCATTTTGTCTTTGTCCTCCAATCCGCTGATGTTGCGAAAATTTCCTGAAGTTCTGTCTTGGGTAGAAACGTTAAGGATGCCGTTAGCGTTCAGGTCGAAAGTCACTTCGTTCTAAAGAAACCCACGTGCTACTGGAGAAATTTCCGTCAGACCCAAGGTTTTGTAACAAGTTATTGTTTCGAGTTATAGACTTTTCACAAGGAGGCTAAGATTGACACAGCTGTAAAACTGCGTAGAAGCATAAAATCGGTCGGACCAAGTCTACTTTCAAATTTAAGGGGTGGGCGCACCTTCAGAGTCGTCCGTCATTGTTTCTCTGTCATAGTGAATTTTATAGCGAAAGGGTATCTGTTTAGATTAGTGCCTAATAGATTCATTTGCATTCGTGCTAACGTGTTGGCAAGTTCACTTAAGTTTATGTTTCCCGGTGTTACTGATGTTTGCGATTTATAAAAAAAAATTAAAAACCACACCCCTTTTTGAAGTGTGCATGTTACGGTACTGACTGACAGTCCGTTGTCAGATTCTGATGATTCACCATGTTGAACTTAAGATGATCCATCTCTACAGTGCTCATTGTTTCTTATCGCACATATATGTATCTCTTTTTACTTATATTCAATATATTTGGTTGATTAATTATATCAGCGCTTAGGTGGTGAATGTTCGCGTTCTCAAATGGTCTGTCGAATTCTTTCAACCAAAACTATAAGATAAACGGGCACTTCTGGTCAAAATAATACCTAATTACCGAAATTATAAAATTTCTTTCTATAATCATTTTAAAGAGCGATTCTTTGAATGCTTTCCAATAATTGATCACTCTTAATTTTTATCATAACTTTTTTTACACAAAATGGGCTATTGTTGTTATACCGGTTGATTCAGATTAACTTTCATCAAACAGCCGTTTGGAAAAATAAACAATCTGTCGTTACTTATGGATACACTATATGTATTGTTATTTTAAGTGTTTTTCGTAGTTTGACGTAGTTGAAGGTTGGAAATAAATTTAATTTTCGAAAAAGGTTCAAAATAAACTTTATTTAAATTTTCAAAATGTCCTCCATCATATTATATTCTAAACAAAGTCGAACTCTTCGGTTCATATTTTCAAAAACATGTATTAAACATTGAGGTGATATCGGCTGATAAAGTCCAATAACAGCATTCGTCAGTCATTATTTCATTAATGTCGTTAATGTGATTCTTGAACTCGATATTTTTAATATGTCGAATAGAAAAAAATCTAAAGGAGGCAGGTCTGGGGATCTACGATGCAATAAATCAACCGACATAAAACGTTCAAGCCATATGAGCCCTAGTATCATCTTGTTGAAAGTATCCTCACTGCAGTTCTTTATCGAGGTCAGCTTGCTACTACTTGCTACTTTTGTTTTCTCGGTGTTTCACCACCACCAGAGTACGAAAAATAGGTATCTCGTTTCCGTTTGATTGTCTGCCGTCTGTCCGCGCTGTGTTGATTTTTACTAGACAAATAATCTTTGAAACCACTGGACCGATTTAATCCAAATGAAAGTAAACCTTCTGTTTTTTTCTTTAAGGTCAATGAAAACTATCTAAAATTAACTTTAACAACCCCCCAGAAGGTTTACTTTCATTTTGATTAAATTAACAGAAAGGGTAAGAAAAATTAAAAACGATACCGGACCGATTGTGGTCAAATTTTGTATGTGCATGAAGATTTGGTCGTTGATAAAACGCCAACCAAAATTTGATCATCCCCATCACAAATGATACGATGCCACCTCCAACTTTTACAATAGTAAATGTTATTTAAGTAAATTTTTTACAATAACACACTCCTTCACTTGTAGTTTAAGAATCCGTGTTGAATTTTTACCCTAGACGTCCGGATTTTTGGAAAAAAATCAAAATTGTGTAGCGACATTTTACAATTTAACTTTGAAATTGCAAAACCAAATGCTCTGAAATCTTGCAACGCGTTAAGGTTATCGGAAGCACGGAAAATCTCTGATCAAAATTTATCCTTTTACGCCCCCCTTAAAAATTGATGACATCATTTTACGATTTTCTCGAATAAATATTATTTCATTATTATAAAATAACATACTCCTGTATGTGTGATTTATGAATCCATCTAGATTTATTACCTTGGACATGCAGATTTTTGAAAGAAAATTGTTTTTCCCCAAAAAGCTAATAAGGTCATGTCAAAAATTTACCGAATAAATCTAAAATATGCACAGTATTAAAGTCCATACCTCTGCTAGTGGTTTATCAATAAATGCATATTTTTTAGATTTTCTTATACAAGGTGGATTAAAGAAAATTAATGAATAATTAAGACGACATGTTTTATTGTTATTAGTACCTATTTAAATTGATTTGGTAAAAATGCTGATGACGTCATAAAAATTATATAGAAAAATTCACTCGAAAAAAAATCTCAAAGTTGAATTTGATAATTTTTCGAAGCTGTATTTGCTGTAGGGACTGGGAGAAGTTATGACGCCTCGTTTTTCTAAAACCTACGTGCAAGTTTTTAACACCGACTTGATTAAAGTTAAACTGAATCACTTGGTATATTATTGAAAAAAATGTGCATAGTTTGGTTGATGTGTGTATGTAATTCAAAAACAATTCTAGGTGTGGACTTCTTTTTTTGCTTTTTCTTCGGGAAAACGAAAATTTTTGTTTGTAAACATTTTATAAATTTTAAATTTGTATTGCAGAAATATTAATGAAAGTGCATAATAATTAAATAAATCATACACACGTACCGCAAGATTAAGGATTTTAAAAACTTAACGTTTTTGTACAATTGATTATTATAATCGAAAATAAAAAAACGTCAGTTATGAAAATAAACAAAAATATGTGTTTGAAAATATTTGTGCATCTATTTAATTTTCTAATTTCAACTGAAATAATTACACTCACGATTTCAAATGCATTCCAACCTATTGAAACACTTACAATAAAAAGCATTTCCGATGTTTACGAATTTTTCGTAATCTGATTTACCTATAAAATTTGCATGAGATGTTTCTTGGTTCCATTGGTTAATTGTAGGTCGTCACGCAACCGATTGTTCAAATTTAAAAGGCGTAACAACAGCTAGGGGCACCGATTATTAGTCTAACTGTCTCTGCAGCCAAAATTTCATCGACAACTCCAACCAAAAAACACCCAAAAATACAAAACCCAAAACTATAATCAACCTACCTGCACAAGTCGAGCGTCTGTGGTTCCCAGAACACCGCCGAACCGTCCAGTTGCCGCCAAAATCACAAAAACACAAAGCCGAATTTTTGAAAACGAAATCATCTTGTTCACAAATTTTTCGAAAAAGGTTTGTACCGTTTCATGTTTCCGCGTCGCCGTTTGGAATTACACTAAGACAAAAGGCAGTTCTTGTGATTTGAGGTGTGTTTGAAAAGTGGCGTGACAAATTGTTCTTCAGTTACGACAGTCCGAGTGGAACAATGTCGCGCAAACGTGCAATCTTCATTCTTCGTGTACGGCACATTTCGTACTGAATCCGTTGTGTACGCGTGCCAATAAGAAGTGAAATTAACTCCTTCACGTGGTAGAAGGTGACCCAAGTGAGCAACCGTGTATAGTAAATGATTTAAATTTGTCTTGTAAGGACATTTTTATATTTATTTTGATTGAATGATTAAGTCGTGAGCACACGTTTGGATTTAATAAGATGTATATCCGTTGGTCGGGACTTTTAGTTCCAGTTGGATATTTTTTCATTCAAGAACGCAATAAAGTACATTTTAATAACAGCATTTGAAGGATGTAATTATTACACTTGAATCACGGACCGCTTGAGGTTTTCGTCACATGAAATATATTATACATTTAATTAATTTTGAAAAGCAATGATTTATTTTTCAAATTTAATTATACTGAATGTTCACGTGCTTTCCAGCACATATATAACACAAATAAATATCTTTCAAGCTACGATATAGACATTAATTTGACAACTTTTATTAACACTACATCCGAACTTTAAATGTTCATTGTGGTGTAAACTGGGCTCACTCCAGCGTTAAAAATTTAAAAACATGTACACAGGTTTTGTTGCTTTAAAATAAGCACCGGTATCTCTGTATATTTTAATATCTTAATGAACAGTTTGATCTTTATTAGGTGGGTTAACTAATTTGTTTTTTTTTTTTTTTTTGTTTGTTTTACAGTAATATTAGAGAATATCTAACAAACTAGTTTTGACACTAGCAATGCTTATTTTAAGCAACTTTGATCTTTGTCACAGAACGCATAGATGCGAAAATAACACTCAGTTTAACGCAAAACTGTGGAAGTAACCGTTTAAGTGAGTCAAAGTGGAACAGTGGACTAATTTTTGTTGGTATGCTTGCGTTATAAAGAAATTTGTCAAAAGATTGCCATATAATAGTCTGCTATGCTTCACAAATCAAGGTTGATTGACGGTGATCACTAGACTTGTTGACAAATTCGAAATAGCGAATGTATAGTCAGACCACTATTTTTCTAACAACAGCAGGGTTAGTTCAATAAAATTAACAGAGAAAAGGTGCACTTACTTGTTTACTTCTTCAAGACTGTTGATTAGTTGCCAGAAAACGGTGACAATGAAAGACACTTTCAAGGTTTTAAAAATTTATTGTTGACATTGAGACAGTTAGGCATTAGGTTTTATTTTCTATGTTTTGTTGAGAAGTATAATAAGTATATAAATCGTGTCTATTTACTTATATTAAACACGTTCACCACCTAATTAATAAACGAGGAGGTAAACTAACAGTGACTAAGAATTAATTATTGGGTTGTATTTGCAAAATTTATATTAAAAAAATATATAATACAACGGAACAATATCAGGTAAGTAAAAGGTATAATAATAATATTAATTATTATTATAACAATGAATGCATTAACAGTTGCAGGAAATTTGTTGGCAGTAAACGTGTGGAACGAACTATATACATAAGACTTTCATCGAACATTTTTTAGTGATTAGGTAATAAATTTTATTATTTGCGTAAGCCCAACAAAGTATAACATTCCAACTTAACTTACATAATATGAAATTCGTGTGTATATTTTTTCATTTATTTGAATGCTTTATATATTTTTAATTTCATATAGTTAGGTACGTATATTTAATACAATATAAAATAATGCTCCTAACACACTCGTTTTCCCATAAAAGGTACAAGTTTTAAAATTTGTCATTTCTCGTGTATCCACATCGGAGACTAATACTAATAACAAAATAATAAATACTTATTAAATAAATATTTGACTATTTACAGTTTCTCTTAAAAATTATTAAATTCGTTTTAACTTTTGTATACAAGAATCCGACACATCCTAGAATTTCAGTCCATCGGTTTGAGAAAAATTATGTATCGGCTATACTAGATTCTCATTTTAAAAAATTCAGTCGGACAAAAGCAACATAAACCAAAAAAAGCAAAAGAAAAATACACATACACATGTCACACGGAAAGTTATTGTTCCACATGAGAATGATGTTTAAAATGTTACATGAATCACCTAATGACCAAAAATGCTGTACAATTGTTACTCTGTGACCAGTCAATTGGCACTATCTAATATACAAGATTAGGCCGAACCGGATCTTAAGAAACAAAAACGTGTTAAAATGAGGGGGAATAATGGCACGACTGCAATATCCTGTGAATCCCGCAGAGCCGATTCCACCCTTTTTGAAAATAAAATTAAACAATGTTGAACTTTTTGATTGTTTATTAATAACAAAAGAGAGGTCATACAAAATAATTTAATTGAGTAATTAACAAAATAGTAGAAGTAACTTGTTAACAGTATTGCAATCAGCCATTACATAATATAAACATAAAAAAATCTAAACTCTTTCTAAAATAAAAGTGTTTCTACTATTTACAAAATACTTAGGCTGATTTTAACACAATATTTCAAGGGATTGTTAACGTTTGTCGCAATTACTACGAAGATGAACGTTGATATACCAACCTATGAATGGACGCCATCACCCAGTTGTGTCACCTGCAAAGCACCAAATAACCATGTAATCGACCTTGTTAGGTCCAACATTCACACGTAAGCTGGTCACGTTAGTAGAGGGAGCTGTTAGTCATGGTCATGCAAAACGATCAAACAATTCAGCTGTCCTCCAACCAGTTTCAGTTGCGGAAAGCGAAAGCGTTCCTCAACTTATTTCATGGTTAGTCTACATATGAATTGTTCCTTCATGTGGTGAACAACGAAACATAAAATCAACAACATCAAAAAGACAGAAATGAAATGAAACATGCACAAACTACGAACACGTGTACAGAAAAAAATAGGCAAAATGAATCGTTCATGTTGATTTATTTTATTTGACAATAAATAAAAAAGAGTGTGTTAAGACTATAAAAAGTGCTTAAAAATTACAAAATAAACTACACAGACATAAGTTCAACAAATAATATCTACCATAAGAAAAAAAAATAACAAACACGATACATTCTTACAGAGTAAACAAGAAGTCATAAAAAATTGCACTGCTACATTAATCACAATCGACAATGCCATATTTACAAAAAAAAATTAGTATAAATTTCCGTAAGATTGATTTTTTTGTGTTTTTAGGAATCACGTGGTAAACACCTGACATTTTGCTACTTAAGCTAACAATTTTTCTAAGAAACGTCTTAAGATATCCCTGTATCGTCCCTGCCAAATGAACAAATCATCCGAACAGTTCAAATCACAACCACTTTACTCCGGGGGCGGTGGGGGTGGAATATCAGGCGGGGCGTCCATGGGCAAGGGAGGATTGGAGCCGCCCGGAGGCAGCGGAGGCGCTTGTTGATAAATTTCCGGTGGATACGCAAATCCCCCATTGTAATAATTGTACATCTGCCCGTCTGGGTAAATATAGGGCTGACCGGCAGTCGGCACCACCCCCATCTGCGCCGGATAGTAATACATGTTTTGCGGCTGATACAGCTGCGGCGGCGGCATGTACGTCGTCGGGGGCGGCGCGCTATTTTTACTATAGTTGCTTACCTTATTGTACGAATGTCTCCCGTTCTGTTTCGAGTCCTTGTGAGCGCTATTCCTGGCGACCTTCGCCGGAGGAGCTTCTCCAGGACTGCTGCGCTCCCTTTCCCTCTTTCTTCCCTTTTCTACCTCGTTGCAGTTGTTCATGACTTCCCTCGGGATCTTGATTTTCAGAGCCATGGGTGCAGCGGCCGGAACGTTGGTGCTCTCCCCTCCACTCGCCTCAGTCTTAATGTCTTTTGGTATCGGTATCTTGATCTTGAGAGGGTTGGCCACTGGTTGGATTTTATCTTTTTGTATCTTGATTCTGATCGGTTCGGCTGGTTCGGTGGCCGTTTCGTGCTTCTCTTTGTGTTTATGCTTCTCGCGGTCTTTATCTTTGTGTTTCTTCTTCTTTTCTTTATCCTCCCGACTTTTGTCCTTGTCTTTGTGCTTGTGCTTCTCTTTGTTTTTCTTTTTGCTTTTGTGGTGTGTGTGATCTTTGACGTCGGTCGGAGGAGGAGGTTCGGTCTTCTGAACCGAGTTGACCACGACCGGTAGTTGAGGTACTGAAGGCGTTTCTTTGAGGAGATTACTGATCAGCATAGGGTTAGTCTCTATGCCGTTCACCAGCGGCTGAGATATGTTGTCGGAACACAGAGGCGGGATAATGTCTGGAGGCTTCATGTCTTTGGAAAAACTAAGCGGAGGTTCTTCTTGTTTGACGACATCCGTTATAGGTGTGATTATATCAGGTATTTGGTGAAGTTTGTTGATGCCTATCGTCGAGTCCCTCATCAGATTCTCGAAACCTTCCACTTGATCGATCTTCTGCATGACCGGCCTCAACTCGGGTTCCGAGCCGGTCGAGTAATTCCTAGCTCTCTTACTGGACGAATTGTTCGTCGGCGATTCCAGCGGCGACAGTGCAGGAAAAGAGAACGAGTCTGAAGATTTGACAGCCAGCGGCGACACCTTGTCCTGCTTGGCATCCGTGGGGCTCTTTTCTGGTGAGAAGAGACTAGGCTTCTTGACGGGATTAGGCGGCTCCTCTTTGGGCAGCGCTTCCTCCTTCACCAGCAGCTCCTCCTTTATCGGCGCACCGTACGGAACAGTCGCGGTGCCGTTGTGGTGGTGCTGCTTCGGTGGCGGGGGCGGCGGCGCCGTCGCCGCTGCGCCCGCCTTCGGGACGGACTTCGATGCGTCTGGGAAAGGCGACTTGACTTTCTGCGAGGTAGAGTTCATCGATTTGTTTAAGTAAACACTACTATTCCTATCGTGTCCGGGAACACTGTGTCTTTTCACGTCACCACTCTCCGGCTTGACGAACGTCTTGTCTTCGTGCCTTCGCGCTTGTTCGTGTTTTATCGGCACCTTGTTCGGGTCAATCGTACGCGACGAAGGCGGCCGATTCTGTTTATCACCATTATAATTCGTACCGTAAGTGTTCGTTTCCGCGGCCACGTTCGGCTTGAGGAGATACTCGCGTTGGCTTTTCTGAACGTCTTTGTTATCACTTTTGTTCGGGTGCTCACGTGACGCGCTATAGTCTTTGGTCGCTATACCGAATGGAGAGTCTCTGGCGGCTTCTCTTAGGATGTCTCGCGGTTCCGCGCGGTTCGGTGGCGGATGAGACGAAGGCGGTCTTGAATGAGGTTGCTTCAGTTTAGGATCGACAGGAGGACGATGGTGACTGTGAGGTATCGGTTGTTTGCTGCTACCGGGTGGTAGGGCTTTCATTCCGTGCTGTTGGGCTAGTTTCTCTCGTTCCTTCTTTTCACGGTACTCTCGTTCCTTCTGTTGCTGACTACTGCTACTGCTACTGCTACTTGACTCGTGGGGTCTGGAAGAACGATGTTTGTGGGGATCGTTTTCGGCGCCTAAAATGTGGAAATTATTGTATTAATATTACGAAGTCTTCTTAAATTGATGGCTGTTAGTCTAAAGATTCTAAAGAAACTGTATCTAGCAGTCTTATTAAAATTTAAGAAGGAAACAGTATAAAGAAAGGGTTTATGTAAATAAAATTAATTTGATTTGTTAATGTGAGACAAAAAACTAAATAAAGTATAGCAAGGGAAAAAAAATATGAAAATGGAAATTCGGCCGATGGACTCGATTACTATACATACTTCCTTAGCTTACACTCGAGAAGTAAAAAAGAAAAAAAAAAAAATGTATGCCTTAGGCGAAACAACTTGATATAATAAACTTTAATAAAAAATATCACGCTATGCACAGACCAGATGTCACGAATAACGAAAACTTAGTGAGGGTCCTTCCATATCAAAGCACCAAATCCGAATAAAAAGGCTTGAAAAGATGAACGTGGGGACTATATTTCCTGAAAGTTCTAGATTTGTATTTTTTCCTTAACATAATGATTTCAGGGACCAAAATAGGCTATTTTTGAGACTTTACAAATTTCAAGCATTTTTTTCCAAGAAAATGATGATTCAGGAACTTGTGTTTCAGTAGCCCACTATTCATTGGTGTTTGGAAGTGACACAAAAAAAAAACGAAGACGGTTTTTCATATTTGTTACTTAAATGATCACCCTCACTTAGTGTTTTCATACAAAACCCATGAAACAATTAATATTCATTAATTCACAGTTGTTTAAATGCCTTAAATACAATTCGGAATTTATGATAAAGTAATGCACAAAATTCACAAAAAGTGCAGCATTTGTTTTTGAGAAAAAAAAAAAATGCAAGAACATGTCAAACTTTATTTTACTCTTCATCTTTTCACATTTGTCAAAAAAATTGTACGTCATCAATGATTTTTTTTAAATAAGAAGGTATAATTTTGATTGCATTATTTGATAAAGTTTATTTTTATGTATATGAAAATGTAGTTTGATGTAGAGGTTGCATAACAAAAAAAATTGAGAAAATTAATAACAACAAAATAAACTTGATTTTAATGATAAATATTAAATAAACTGAACAATACATTGGAGTAAAAATTTACCCTATAGAAATTGTTCAAACTGTTCCCCCATTCACTATCTGACACAAATCCAGATGACGGTAGACCTGATCGACGAAATTTTCAATACTCTTATACGAGTCATTTCATGACGAATTCGTACTTTCAAGTCGTCCAAATTGTTGGGTCTTAACATATAAACACGACTTTTTAAATGTTCCCATAAAAAAATCAAGAAGTGTCAGATCCGGAGACCTAGGTGGCCATTCTTTATCAAATAATCCGTTCAAAATTATAGCGTCTCATTTAAATAAATCATTGATGACGTCATAACTTTTACAAATTTGACTTTTTTTGACATGTCAAAAGATGGAGAGTGAAATGAAAGACTTGCCATGTTATTTGATTTATTTCAAAAACAAATGCTGCGCTTTTTATGAATTTTGGCTATTACTTTATCATAACCCTGCATAAAAAAATATATATAACTATACTATTGTTTTCACATTAAAGTAATAATGAGTTTCGCAATAAAGATAACGGCATAAACTGGCGCGTTTCATTGCGATTTATTCATTATTTATACCAAAAACTTTAACAAAAAATATGAATTTTAATCGCCATGTTAAAGACGCCTAACATGATAAAAATAAATAAATTACATTTAAAATAATTACAATTGAAAACGGACAAAATCATCAGATCAAAGTTATCTCAGCACTCTTTTAAATGGCAGCAGTAATTCTAAAACACTTTTGACTATCGTGTTGTTTGTACATTTGAAAAAATGTAAAAATTACTATTACACTCTTTTAAAATGTTGTACTGCTAACAGAAACAAATAGCACCCAACTCAAGGAATCAATTTTATTTAATCAAAAATTTAAAACACAAAATAAAAAACTCACCTGCTTTAGCGTCGTGCGTTCGATGAGGATGCTGTTCTTTTTGGTCTGAACTGGGCACTTTTTTAGGATCTGTATCCTACAATTACGTAGGATGCAATCAACAGTACGGCTACCACACTACTATACTTACGAAAGGTGAGTTGGTAATAGCCGCAACAGTATGCATTCCATTATCGCCTATAGACATAATTTTTTCCTTCAAACGTGAGGGACAACTTTCGAAGATCGTAAGAAATTCTGCAGTGAGTTGTTGCAGCAGTTCTGCAGTTACCGTCGGGTCCACATACAGAAACCACTCTTTCCTCTCGGTGGACAACGGTATCTCCCAACTCGACCACTTACAGGCTAAATGTATGCAAAAGCAGGCTACTACAGTCGGTTTATATTGGAGGCACATTGTGGTCAAATGCAAGCTGCAAACAAACGAATTAAAATGCGGCGAATCTACATACTATTGAACAAACCTGTTACTAGCCAAAAAATACGAACTCTGTGCTAAATCTTTACTGGCACGAACAAGATGACAACACCTTACGACGTGGGTGTGTGGATGGTCAATTGCAACATCGAAACCCAAAGTTTGTAGGAGAACGTTTTCATTGAATACCAAATCTTGTGATTGAGCTATATACCTATGAATGATTGTTAAGTAATTTCGGGGTTTTCTTGTAATAGATGGAGTACCTTTCCGAGTTCACGTCTATGTTGGTATCTCTGTTATTTCTGCACATGTTTGCCACTCTAATAACATATTCTAATTTCCTAGGTTGTTCTTCTACTTTGGCGGCTAGAAACAGTGCTGCCGCCGCCATCTGGTGCCAGGGGAAATTTGTGAAGGAGTGGAACACGTAGAATCGATGCATGTATACAATGGCTGTGTTGATACATAATTGTGATCTGAGCTGTGTTAAGGAAATACGCAACAAAATTTCTGGTGAAAAATTCACCACAAGTTGTAAAATAGACGTTTCATAAAAATACATGAAATAGGGCATAAAGAAATAAATATACATAAATAATAGTTTAGATTCTAGAACTTATTGGTTTTCCATGCGTCCTGACGATTTCTGCACATCAGATATTAATCGAATCTGGCAGGCTGCCAGACTGTTTCACAATCCAAATTGTATAGCATCAACTACGGTTAACTCATACGTTGTAACTATTTTACTCTTCCAAAGTTCTTTTTTTTACTTTACTTTCAGGTGGATTTATTTGTGAATGTTAACAAAATATTCAATTCCTACACGACTATATGAACCACCTTTTATTTGGCATTGTTTCAATGAAATGATCTGGTTGAGCGTTTCAGCAGAAGTACAGTAGAAACGAAATTTAATAACAAGTTGAATAATAAAAAATACAGTCAAAAATGTTATGGTTGTTACCGTCGCCATGTTATCGACCGCGGTCTTTTGTTTTTATTAAATACGGTAACAACTTTTTCCTGGCATACTTTTTAATGGTTAGATCAATCTGAGCAAAACTACTATACATGAACCACTAGGTTTTGACACCCACTTGAAAATTAAAAAAAAAAAGTTTTAATTCATGTTTTGTATGACCAAAAATTATACAACTAAAACCCTGTGTATATGAAAATGGTCCAGTTTTCTATGGTCGCCACTGTACAATACGTTTCCTTAAAAGAAAAAATAATGACACTATAGCTCCATTACATTATACTACTGTGAGAAATATTGGACATGAAAACATCATATGGTAATTTTATATGATTCAATTTGACTCGAAGAGGAAAAGTTAGTGGGTGTACCTTTTTGACTGTATTTATGTGTATTATATATTATATATAACTTGTTTTTAAAACTGAATTGTATCGCTTATCGAGATGTTATTGTTTGAAGAAACAAAATCTAAAATATTGATTTTTCTAAAAGTTGGCAGACACAAAATTGTAAACTTAATATTTACATAATCTGAACGAAAGTGTATTTTTTTTATCACGATATTTTTGAGTTTTAATTATATTTATTCAGTTTTTGATAGAACTTTATATTTTATTGAGTTGAATAATTTTCAGGTCCACGTATTTTAACACACATTCACAGTATGCAGCTCCGTGTCATCTTTGAAAAGTTTACTTGAATATTTCTAATTAATGTTTTCTTACACCTGTTCTTAAAATAAAAAATTGGTCTAGGGTAGTAGAGAGAATTTTCCTCGCCTCTGAAGTAGAGTGTAACCAAGAGTTTCTTCGGAAAATGAAAAAAAATTGACTTGCAATTTTTTTTCATGATCCCTGTAAGTTCAATAAATCGAGGCGGATTCATAAACCACAAGTTTAGGATATGTTAATACATATATAAAATTTAAATAGCATTTACATGCGAAATTTTTAGGCGATGCCATCAATTTGTTGGTGGGGATAATCAGACAAATATTGGTTACCGGTTTATCACCTATATAACATTCTTAAATTACAAATAAAACTTAATAACGATCAGTCCAATAAGATACCTCCCAAATTATTTTGAATAATGAAAGTCCGATCGATTTCAGGCACCCAACACAAAATAGTGAATTAAAATATCTTCAACATTTGGACCAAAGGATTTTTTTATTTATTTTATTTATTTTTTCTTTTGCTATATGAACGGTTTTGAACTACTAAATAGGCTTGGTGCGCAATTTTTTGAATACCCTGTATGTATCATATTTCATTTTCGTAACTTGAAAAGAAAATTAAAAATAAAAAGAACGAATTGAAGCAGTAGTGCTTTTTTGAAAAAAATTACTTCATTTAAATAAGGCCAACCTTGCTAAAAAATGCTGTAAAAGCTTCATACAAATGCGTCTAACAAATCTCTTATATATTAATGTTTCACTAATCAATAAAATCATCATTATTCAGTTGTACCATAAATGGCTATTATTTCACTGCATTCGATAACAAATTAATTTTGTGAATAAAAAACCTACAGAAAAAACCTCTGAAAGATTTATACATCAATAATAGTAAAAAAATACCACAATCAGAGAAACAAATGAATTTTTTATTTTACTATTAAAATGTAGTTGCAGAAAAAATACAACTCGTTTACGAAAAGCGTCGATATCGAATGACTTTTTAACTCCGCTACGTCTTTCAAAAAAGAAAAGAAAAAAAAGGCTCACTAGAAGTTTTTTTTTGGATCATATAGTACAACGTAACATTTAGCATTACGCTGCTATTGCTAAAATTTCAGAATTTTTCCTTAGATCTATTAAATCAGTGCATATACCTATGAATTATTTATTGTAACATATTTTCTGTGAATCATTCTAAAAATAAAACCACATAATTGAAACACATTTTCATTTATCATTTTTCGAAACGAGGACGTCTTTTGTAGCGAAAATGAAGAAATTTTAAAAATTTTGAACAAGTTTTATCAAATCTGAAGGAAACCATTTGCTCAAACTAAATTCTTGCATGTATATGCGCATAGTTAAAAACAGATGAGGAAAGAAATGAAAAACATGCATTTTCATATTCTACGTGTTGAAGTAAAAACTCTATTATATTTTTATTTAAAGTGTTTAACAATAAAAAACACACCAAAGCTTTCTGAGTGAACAAACTCACAATACCCATAGATTTTTACCTGCTTCATCCACTTTTTGAATACATTTTAAACAGTTTTAAAAGCTTTAGCAGTACGCATCTATTAAAATTAAGAGCTGCCAGTGTGTAAGATTGGTTTTTAATCCTGATTAATCTATATAATTCGGGGTAAAAAGTTTTATAGGCTGATTACAAAATATGTGAGATATCTCGGACTATGGAATTTAGGAACCACTGTAGTGTTGTCCCAATATTTGAAAACAATATTATCTCATCTGGGACCTACATGTACACAGAAATGTATTATTTGTAATTTAATGAAAAGAAATGTGTGATTAAGGTCAAAACATTGAAATAAAAACAATAATAAATCAAGTCTTAAGACAACATCTTATCCATTTTATTTATCTAAGTATGTGTCGATCTGAATATCTTAATAACTGTAATTCCAATTAATTTATATACAGTGAGACTTAAAGATATAATAAAAGGAAACAGATTACCTATCGTTACGATCTGGGCATTTTTTCTTAACTTTACAAACGTTTTATTAGAATTTATGAATATAAATAATTAGTAAATTAGTGCAAAACAAGTTTCAGACAGACAAATCTCATCATTAGAAAAATTATATTGCAATCAATGCGTCATGTTAAAGTCGCACAAAATATAGAATACGTTTGATCTGTGGTAATAATCAACGTGAATTAATGGAAAGTTAAATTTCCGATATTCTAACAGGGGTTCTTGTTTTATCATTACTGTTATGCGTTTTTTTATTGTATTTAGTGTTATGTTATGATCATTTTATAGAACGTGACGAAAAAAAAGTATTATAAATAATTGATGAAGAAATAAAATAAAGTATAATGACAACACTCAAACATAATGTTTTCCGATAAGAATTGTTTCACGGATAAATATCACTTTGTGGCAAACGTACTTATAACGTTTTGTTTTAATGGCAACTTTAATTAACACCACAGTAAATTTTTATACGCAAAAAGTAGCTTATTTTTATTGTTTTGTTTTAAACCTGCTGTCGTTAAAATTTCAGGTAACAGTGCTTTAACTTGTCTCTTCTTAAAAATAAAATAGCTGAAATCAAGCGCACTGCATTTAATCCTGAGAGGATTATCGTAGGATCCTGCATATTCATAATATATAAAAAAGCCATAGGGTCAGTTTGGATAACAGTTCCACATGAAAACCAACACTTGAAGCTTTAAACTCTCCTTATCCCAAAAATCAATCACACAGGGTGCTGGAATATCTAACGTTAAAGTTTGTCTAGAATTATAAGAATTTTATGGACTCTCAAAGTTAATCCCTTTCGTCAATTTTATTGCACAGCTGAAGAGCTGTCAGTGGAAAGCAGAGGTTTACTGCACCCAAGTTTGCCCCGCGCCAGGTAGTCTGGCAGGCAGGTAAAAATTTCTTAGAAAAGCTGCGGTTCGAAAACGGCTGTAAAACGAATTAACTCTGGGAATCCATAAAATTTTTTAATTACAGTTTTTATTCTATATTTGTGATAAAACTGAACGAATACTTATACAACGCTTCATCAGAATTGTTTGTGATTTTACATACTTACAAAGAACTATCAAAAGTTTGGTTTTTAATTCAATTTACTTAGTACAGCGAGTATCATACACAATCAGATCTTACACTTGGTAAACATTTCATGCACAATTAAAACAATATTAACACTGAGTCATTTCTTTACACTTGATAATAATACTGTAGATTTTTTATAAAAGGGAAGGAACACTCACATTATGGAAGTGCAGTGCAACATGCGGTAAGACTCACTGTCGAGTAAACCAAACCTATTACTTTCCTTCGATATGATATTAGGCAAAATTTGGTAAATATATAACTTCAACATAATGACAGCGTGTCTATGTAACACACAATATACAATAGATTCTAATGTCTTCAAACTTCAACTTACTGTTACACTTTATCGCTTGAAACTCAGAACGTTCCAACGTCCACCACTATTAACTAGTTAAGATCACTTTTTTTAAAGCATAGCCAAAATCAATTTATTATTAAAAAATTATAGTACAAAAGCGACCCGAACATTTCTCACACACTTCAAGTTTAATATTCCATAAAACTCAAAATGAACATGATAGAAAGCTTTACCTACTTTATATACTTTGAATAAAAAAAAATTAAAGGAAATCTAAAAGCAAATGATTAAAAAATAAAATCGCAAGAAATATAAACGTCTTTTTTAATAAAAAATTGATTTTATTTTTTACTTTGAAGAAAGATTACAATTATTACATTGTACAAATCGCAAATCAAAATGATGTAGTATGACAGAAATACTACAATCTTGAAATGAGTTGAAAACAAAAAAAATTAAAAAGAAGCAAACGACAACCTACAACAAATGTAGAGAATAATTAAGGTAATATTCTGAAAAAAAGCATTCGATGAAATAATCCTGAAAGAATAAATAAATGCGCATTTGTAATATTAATTCTGCGAATCGAGTGGTGCGTTTGAAAACACACGTGTCGTGTGAACGTTGCTTTATCTTATCTGCGTGAAACGTCAATTATGCGCAGTAGAGGGGGCTATCTACGTCACTTACGAAACATGGCGCAATAGCTCCACAATGACCTAAAACAAGGGTCGTGGGGCCCGCCGTCTGCACTCGGGGCTGAAAAGGGTTCGCATTCTAACGGTTAAAATACAGACACGTGGAAAGGATACACTTTGAGCCTCTGACCCATGTCCTGGATGAAGTTGGCCGTTTGCTGTCTGTAAGACAGCTCTTTGAAGCTATCATAACCGCATTTCCTCGAGGGCGTAGCCTCCAATTGCTCTTTCGTGAAGTACCATCTATCGCTGTTATTAGCCATTTACTGCACTCGACACGACTCGCGATTAGAGCAATGCAAGTGTCGCTACGACTGCCAAACAGACTATTCCAGCTCATTTGCTATGTTATTGGGGGTTTTGAGGGTGCATTCTCGCGAAATTCAATCACAAACAACACTTTTGGCGACAAAATCGGCTAGAAGGGTTTCCGTTGCGTCACTACGATGTGGGTTTTCCTAGAAGTGGCACTGGTGCGAATCGGGTCGTCTTTCCACGGGCAAATCTCCGGTTACAAATCTCGACTTTTACACGAATTATTACTTAAAGTTTACTTAACGGTTTCGTAAAGTTTTTAACGCGAAAGAGGTAGTTTTTCAGCAAATAAAAATATACATACACAAAGTTGTTGGAATTTGATGTTATTTCACACAGAGATGGCCGACCAACCGCGGTAAGCAAGACCACCACTTTCACAAAACAAACATTTTCACTAACTCCCCGAAACGTACCCCTTGACACCTCATTAATACACTAAAAATTTTTGAAAGCATTACACCTTCAAACAGTCAAGTGCCGTAAAGTCCCAAACACCCTGAAGTCAACAACAAACATCAACTTGATTAAAAATGGCGGCTGTCAACTTCCGCTAACGTTCTCATTGGTCAATGCTTTACGAATTTGCGCGCCAGTAAACATAACCTAACAGTAAACAGAAACGTAGACGCGCACTTCACCATTTCTCTGTTTTTTAGAATGCAGCTGCCAGAAAAGCAAATGAAGATGTCTTCGACGTATGCCACTGCTGGAAATAAAGATGTGGCAGCTTTGAAAGCCGAGTTGGAAATCGAGCTAAAGAACAAAAAACAGTGTACGTACAAACCATATGAATGCACTCAGTTGACTCTTGATGGTTTCAACTACTGTCTAAAACACATTCTTCAAGACAAAGCAGCTCCGTACAAACAGTGTTCGTACATTTACGCGAGCAATGGAAAGCGATGTCAGCTCGCAGCTCCAAAAATCGAAAAGAAAGATTGCGGCTATTGCAATGAACATGCAGTTAGAGCTACGTTGGCGAAAAATAGACAAAACTCGAGATATCCACCACCGCAAACTGCTGAAGTACTTTTATATTCTGTGGGGCACTATTTAAAAAAACCAAGGAATAGGAGTGTGTCTGGAAGTACAGATGAATCGGATAGAGTTACAGCTGAAGATAGTGCTGAACCAAAAGCAACAAGAAGTTTAGACCCATTTCGTATGTTTGTTATTTGTAGAGGATTTTAATTAGTTTGTTTGTTTTAGGTGACATTGATGCAAATAATGTGTATAACTCGTCGTGTAACAGTATTTTAGATTTTTGTAGTGAATCAGACAGTGATGTTGAAGCTTCAAATTTTGCGTCAGTGTGGCATGATGCTCAAAATGATAGTTCTGATAATGAGAGTGTGGATTCTGATCAAGAGGATGTTCTCAAGTATGTTATTATGATAAAAGAAACCATTTATGACTTATTTATATTTCACAGACATGCAAATGTTTACACAGCAGAGGAAATTAGTTCTATCACTAGAGACAAACTAATTAAACTACAATCTCTGTATATTGAACAATATCGCCATCTCCAACATGTATTTAAGGAATGTAAGAGAAAATATGTCCATAATTTAAAAAGAGAGAAGGACACCTGCTGTAAGTATTCTCGTTTTTTTTTATTTTGTTCTGAATTTCTTGTTTTAGGCAATATTCACAACCAAATACGCGAAAATCCCAAAGAACAGCGGCTGTACAGGAAATTAAAAGCTTTAAATAAATATCATAGAACACAAGGTGTTGAAGCCATACTTAACAAGAGATTACATGATTCACGCGCAAAGGTGTTTTTTATTATTATAAGATTTGAATCTTAATGAACAGTTTTTTTAGATTACTGATGGCATATTTTCAAAGCCACCCAGTTATTCTAAGTGTTTGTTCACCGAAGGTGGTGTTAAATGTGGAGAAAGAACACTTCCTTTGGCAAGACATTGCAGAAAGCACATTTTGGAAGATCAGAATCAGGTGTTATTCCGTGCTTGTGGCAAAAAGAAAGCAGATGTGGAGTGTCAGACCCCAGTTGAGGCAATTTTTGAAGATACTTGTTGTAATCTCCACATGGACATACCTCCAATTAAATCATATTCACAATTAAGGGTATATTGATTCTAGTTAATTGTCATGAGTGCATTTTTGTGTTTTTTAGAAAAATTCTGAATCAGATTATGAAGACTCTTTTGAATCACCTGAAAATTTATTAATGGAGACTGTATCAGATAATGTTAAAACAGAAATAATAGACTATAAACCTAATTTGGAGGAAATGAAAACGTTGCCATCAGTTTTGTTTGAAGAGTCTAGTATGGACGCTAGTGTGAAAAATGAGGATATTGATGATGATAAAACGGGTGATGAGGATGTACAAGTAGAAGTTGATGATGAACCAAGTCCAGAGGGTAAATTAGAAATTGATTTACCAGATGAAGACAATAAAAATCACGTAAATTCTGTTACAAAGATGGAAGAAGATAGTTCAGAGGATAAAAATTCTATAGATAAAGTTATCAGTAACGACATATAATTTATAGTAATGAGAGTTTTTGTTACATGTTTTGTAATACGTTAACTTTAATAAAGTTGTTCAAAATTGAAAAATTTCAAATTCGTCTTTTGACAACCATGTAGGTATTGCAGTTTTCTACAACTCATTTGTATATGACAGAAAACAAATGTCATTATTTTATTATTTTCCTGATATTTTCTCTTGTAGGATGGCAGTTGTACACTAAAAACACTAATGTATCTCTGCATTGAATATAAATGCCAACTAGCAGTAGTGTTGCTGCGACTGTAAACATCCTTCACTAATTTATTTCCTCACCCTGCTTTGTTTTTCTAGGACAAGCAAAAAGCTTTTCGATTGCAAACTCAAGTCAAGAGCATCGAACGAAATGATGCAGACCGGCCTGAAGCTTTTCTCACTATAGAGTCGGCTTTGCCGTCAAATGAACGCAGAAGACTAACAAAGAGATCTTATAGTACATTAAATGCTGCAAGCATCTCTAAAGCTCACAGTACAAAACTTATACCATGTGATCCAATTAATTTACAAACACACACTGATGGTTCAGTTCACATAACTCGCACCCAAAATGAGAAAGAGTGCAGTCCAGACAGGATAAGTCTGGATCGGCGAGGTCTAACTTCTTTCCCAGTTATTGATGGAGAAATGAGATTGAGATTGTTGTCGTTGCAACACAATCTGATCAGTAGTTTAGATGGGCTGAAAGCTCAAAGTTTTCCTTATTTAGTATTTTTAGATATTTATGACAACCAGTTAGAACAGATGGGTTGTTTAAATACATTGGAGAATCTCAGGGTGTTATTGGTTGGAAAGAACAGGTATTTTAATGTTTAGCAGAGGCAGAAAGTTTGACTATTTTTTTCCAAGGTTGCGCAGAATTGAAGGATTGAGTACTCTGAAAAAGATAGAAGTGTTGGATTTACATGGAAATCAGATAACACATGTCACTGGGTTGAATTCTCTTGCAGAATTAAAAGTTTTGAATTTAGCTGGTAATCAGATTCGGTATATCGGAATAGGTGATTTTCAAGGATTGGCTTCCTTGCAAGAGTTGAATTTGAGGAGGAATAGACTTAAGAAGTTACTGGGTTTTGGCGAAACCCTGAATTTATCAAAGTTGTTTATTAGTAACAATGATTTACAAAGGTAAGTACTTTAAGCAAAGAAAATTATTATTTCAGTGAACCACTGTATGATTGAATAGGAGGTGGGTGTAATTAACGCTATACAGTTGGGTTTCATGACGTTTTCAGTTTGACAGTGATGGCCAAATAACTGTCAAACAGCTGCAATGCCAACATTTTTATTGCAAATAAGATTCACAGCCTACTAGAGAACTTTTTCCATCATCTGATTGGCGTAGAATGGGTCACGTGGTACTTTAATGCCGCATTAATAAAACTTTTAATTGCAATCAAATATTGAAATAAACTTCCGTAAATTAACTCTTACACCCTACATAATGTCAGTTTTGAACATAATTGTCATTATTTGTATTTGCGAGCAAATTTTCTATTATTTGCAATAGTATAGATAAATTAAAAATGAAGTTATGAATAGAGAATTTGGCGGTATTGTGTGACAGTGAAATATATTTAAGTCTAAAGTCATTCATTTAACTGCTCTATAATTTGTAAATGACTATAATTTGAAATAATGGATCTCAACACGCTACTTGAGCTCCGACATTTGGTATTATAAATGTAAATGCGCACTTATGCGGGAAAACTAATACGATCCTTGCGATTTTCCACACTAGCGATTTTTTTTTCCATCGTTGAAATAAATATTTTTTAGCGTGGAAGATATAAGCAGTTTGGCAAAGTCGTGTAACTTAAAAGAGATTTCCATAGACAACAATCCGGTATTCCTGTCTGGTGATTGCGTGTCATTCCTTGTTTCGTATTTGCCCCAACTAAACAAACTCAATACTATGCAAATAACAGAACAAGTGAGAAAAGCGGCGATGGCGTGGCGTCGGAATAAAGAATCAACGAACTCGGCTTTCATGGATCTAACAAGTGATGTTTGTTTGAACGTTCGACGAGAAGAGATTATATCTAACGCGAGAACGAATTGGGAGTTGCTAAGATCGCAAACTAAATGTCTGACCAAATCGTCGAGTAATTTGGCGAAAAACGTCAATAATCTATCTTTAGATTCTGATTTGATTTTGACTTCTTTTGGGAAAACGAAAACGAAGACTTATGCCAGTATTACCACCAAAGTGCCTCTTTTTACAAATAAAAAATTGATAAGGACTAGCTCACAAGATACTGATAACTCACAAAACACCTCGTCATCGAACACTTCGAGTAACGAATTTATTAGATTACCCCCTATTTTGGTACCTATTATTAAGAAAATGGAACAGAAAAACGAGGCAGGTTCCAAAGAGAACAGCATTAAATTATCGGGGAGTTTGTCAAGTATAGGCCCTAACATCGACAGTTCAGTGAGTTCTCTTGGGAGCGAGAATGAGTCTTCAGATTCTGAAAGCTCCAGTGACACTGAAGTGGAGTCGGAACACGAAGAGCCGGAACCGAAATTGAAAGAACCAGAACGGGAAAAGGAGACGCCTGTGCTGGGGTATGCAGTAACTTGGAGTATTGAGTTGTTTTCATATATTTTTTTAATAGGACAACACCTGTTGTCATGGAACAAACGGAGGAAAATAAAAATTCATGCGTTGAAACTGCGAGTAGCGTTTCCAGTATTACTAATGTCACGGCACCAAGCGCTTCAAGTAGTGATCCGCCTTCCAAAACGGAGAGAAATGCAAGGAATGTTAAAAGCGCAGCGAACACTCGGGCTCTTAATTCGAAAGTACACAATCGGGCATCAACTGCCAAACCGAAGAAACAGGGGTCACCAGCATCGGGGGGAAAGGACAGGGAGCAAGGTAGGTCCTTTTTTTTAATTTTTACTATTGAATTAAATTTAATCATGGATTAATTATGTCGAAATTTAAAGTTTTTTGTTTTTGGAAAAAAATGTTTTTTTTTTGTCTGAATAAAATTTTGTGGCTATAAGATAACGTAATAATTCCCGTTGTTTAAACACATTATTAGTACAAACGACGGTAAATAAAATAAAATTACCAATTAAGGTCTTGATTTTCAGGGGGCTAAATGCAAACTGTTGAACGATTTTATACATGCAAGTATTCCCTTTTTTTTTTTTTTTGTTTTGCATTCAAAAGTAGGTTTGGATATATCGATGATGTCATAACTTGTAGTTGTTTTTATCGAATTTTCAATTCAGAGTTCAGTAGTCTTCGAATGTTCTGTAGATGTAGCTAATAAATCTTTCACTTTAACTGTGACAACTTTGTTAATTTTTTAAGGTGTGATATCATAAATTATAGTAGACCTTCGTTGGATCTCACACTTTGAATTCATGAATTATTTATCTTTATTCTACGTTGGTTGTTTGGTGTGTTAAAGTCTAATTTCCTTCGATTTTCACTCTTAAGATATTCATGTTAAGCAACGATCGAAGCTGCTCCATGTTTTTTCTGTGGTATAATTTTGTGAAACAAACTTATAATCATCAAAACTTTGAAAACATGATATAACGATTTCTGAAACAACTTTAATCACTTGGTGAGGATCATAATAAAAAAAATTATCCCCTAATATTATACAGAATTCACTTTTCTAAATGTTTCGTTTTGTTCAATAATGCGTGAACTTTTGTGTCAGTACCTTGTGGTGTTTTATTTATGCTAGTGGGTTTTACAAAATTATTTGACTAATTTTGTAATACAGCGTTGAAACGTGGAATAAATTATGGTAATTGGGACTTATCCTTATGTACTCTAATGAGATCATAGGTTATTATAGCAATTTATATTAATTTTAAGTCAAAATAAAGGCTTATTATTATTTTTTGTATCCCCTTGTGATTGAGAACCTGATTTTAGTTGTTAATGTAAAGAGGTTTGAAATCTTCTATGCATAGAAAATTAAATATATATATATATATATATTTATTTCCGGAGCTAAGGACGTATTGTAATTGAGTCCTTTCTACGACTGACTCCTTTTATGCTTTCTCGACGTTTCATGACTCCTAAAGTACGAAAAAAGTACGTCTTCCGTTTCTGTCCGTCTGTATTAGAATTATTAGGAATATCGTGTTTCGTGTAGATGGTAAAACACTAATCAAAATTTACATAAACATCCCCACCAACAAAATCATCTTCAAAATTTATATCTGTAAATATTAATTCAATTTTATGAAATAAGGTATTCCTTTACATATGAAAAAAATCAAAATTGTATAACATTGTGCAATTTAACTTAAAAAAAATAAATAAATAAATGAGGAAATTTATTGTATTGATTAAAATCAAGAACAACTATCTCTATTTTCCCGAAAATTTGGGGATACAGTACTGTTATTATCCAAACTGATATACGTGTCCTTGACGTCATCAGAAAATTTTGTAGTGGAAAAACTCACTTGAAACAAACGCATAGCACTCCTCTGTACGTTTACTTTACCATTACATTTTAACTTATAATTATACAAAGATAAAATTCGCAAAATCAAATCTTATAATTCTTCGAGAAAAATCTGAAAATTTTTGATATCACAAATTTTTGTTTTTTCATTTTCTTTTTTTTCAATTTTTCCATTTTTCAGTATTTCGGTTTCATAATTTTTCGATTTGCAGTTTTTCAATTTTGAAATTTTTTAATATTACAATTTTTGATTTTCCATCGTTCAGTTGCTCAATTTCTCAATTTTTAATTTTTCGATTTTTCAATTTTTTCGTTTCCTCAATTTTTCAAGTTCTTGATTTTTATTTTTTATTTTCCCAATTTTTTAATTTTTATTTCCTCCTTGTTTCTTTCGATATTAAAATTTTTCGTTAATTCAATGTTTCAAATTTTCAATTCCTCGATTTTCCAATTTCAAAATGTTTGAACTTCTCAAATATCCGATTTTTCGATTTCTTTAATTTTCAATTTTTCGATTTTTAAGTTTCTCAGTCTTTAATCTTTCGATCTTTCAACTTTTCGTTTCTGCAATTTTTCAAGCTCTTCATTTTATACTTTTTTGTGTTTCTAGTTTTTGATTAAAAACGTTGCAAAATCGAAAAAATGGAAAATCAAAAAATTGTAAATCAAAGAACTGAAGAAACGGTAAATTGAAACATTGAAAAATTGAAAAGTTAAAAATCGAAAAATTAAAGAGTCGAAAAATTGAAAAAAAGAAAAAACGAATCGAATCGAAAAAATGGAAAAGTCAAAATTGTAAAATCGAAAAATTATATAATCGTCATAATTCAAAAGTCGAAAAACTGTTACATTGAAAGACTGAAAAATTAAATATTGAGAAATTCAAAAATTAAGAATCGAAAAATTGAGAAATCGAAAAAATGAAAAAGTTTTAAAATCTAATAATTGAAAAATAGAAAAATTTTAAAATCGTAAAAAATTTTAAATTATAATTCGTATTATATATGTATTTAAAATGAAAATTAGAAACACTACAAATCAAAAAAGAAATGAAAAATTGAAAAATCGAGAAACTGAAAAATCTAAAATTGAAAGATCGAAGAATGACAAAATCTGAAAGTTGTAAAACCGAAAAATTGCAAATCGAATAATTGAAAAATCTAAAAATTGAAAATTTTCGCGTTGAATAACACAAAAATCATAAAATCAGAACATTGAAAAACCGAAAAAGTGAAAAAATAAAGGAAATAAAAACCGAAATGAAAAATTGAAAATTTTTCCACTTCCAGATTTTTCAGTTTTTCGTTTCTTCAATTTCTCGATTTGTAGTTTTTCAATTTTGCAACTTGTCGATATTACCATTTTTGATTTCTCGATCTTCCAGTTTCTCAATTTCTTAATTTTTAATTTTTCGATTTTTCAGTTTTTCATTTCCTCAATTTTTCAAATTCTTGATTTTAATTTTTTTATTTTGCCAATTTTTTTAATTTTCATTTCCTCAGTGTTCCTTTCGATATTAAAATTTTTCGTTTATTCAATTGTTCAATTCCTCGATTTTCCAATTTTTAAGTTTTTGAACTTCTCAAATATCCGATTTTTCGATTTCTTTAATTTTCAATATTTCGATTATTCAATTTTTCGTTTCTAGAATTTTTCAAGTTCTTCATTTCATACGTTTTCGTTTTTTCATTTTTGATTTTTCAATTTTACGATCTTGCAATTTTTCGAAATGTTGAAAAATCGAAAAATTAAAAGTCAAAAAACTGAAAAATGGGAAAAAATTGTAAATCGAAGAACTGCAGAAACGGTAAATTCAAACATTAAAAAACTAAAAACTTAAAAATCGAAAAAATGGAAAACTCAAAATTGTGAAATCGAAAAATTATGATTCCTCAAAATTCCAAAGTCGAAAAACTGTTAAATTGAAAGACTGAAAAATTAAGTATCGAGAAATTCAAAAATTAAGAATCGAAAAATTCAAAATCTTTAAATTGAGAAATCGAAAAAATGAAAAAGTTTTAAAATTTAATTATTGAAAAATAGAAAAATTCTAAAATCGTGAAGGTGAAAAAGTGAAAAAAAAATTAAATTATAATTCGTATTACATATTTGAAATGAAAACTAAAATAATTGCAAATCAAAAATTGAAGAAACGAAAAATTGAAAAATCAAGAAACTGAAAAATCTGAAATTGAAAAATCGGAAAATTGAAAATTTTCGCATTGGATAAAAGGAAAATCATAAAATCGGAACATTGAAAAGCCGAAAAACTTTTCATTTAATTAAGTCAAATAAAGAAAATAAAAAATTGAAAAATTAAACACTGGTGAAATTGCAAATCGAAAAACTGAAAAATTTTAAAATGAAAATTCGAAGAGTTATATATCATAAATTGAAAAAAAAAAAAAAATAAATAAAAATCACATATCGAAAAATTGAAAAATTGAAAAAATTAATATTTCATAGATACACCATCTATTTAACCTGTTCTACTTTTTAGTGAATTTTTATGATAACTGAAAAAAATGAGATTAAAAAACAAAAGATTATAAAAGCGGAACATTGAAAAATTGTAAAAATAAAGACAATAAAATCAGAAACGAAAAATTGCAAATCGAAAATATGAAAACTTCGGTAGTTAGAAAATTGCAAAATTTAAAGTTGAAAATTCGGAAAATTGCAAATCGAAATAGTAGTTACATTATATACCAAGAGACTAAAATGCACGATGTAATCCCGAAAGTGGATATTAGTGCCCGAGGGCAATAACCACTTCTGGGATTACAGCACACTTTAGTCTTGTGGTGATTGTACTATTTTTTGCCCTCTCGGCACTACAAATACTAAATTTTAAACTGGAAGAAAATATTGGAAATTACGTATCATCAATCGCGATAGTAACTGCCCATTCACAATGGACATAAGACATAAGAACGAGCGCATAACATAATTTACGTTTTTGGTTTGTGTCAGGCTTATGCTTATCTACGTTCACAGTGGATAGGTGGACAGAGTGAACTCTGTAAGAATTGTTAAACTGCGCAAACGCAGAACCGAATAACTCCCGGCTAAACATAGAAACGACTAACCTCAAACTGAGTCAATCAAAATATCTAACCTACAATTTCATACGATATTCGAACTTGACAACTTGCAACAACAGACTCGCAGTGTGAAGCTTTCATTATAATATATATAATATAATCAAAGGTGTGAAGTACCAAGTGCCAACTGTCAAAGGGAATTCAATAGCAGCATTCAAAAGTCCCTAGATTTTAACATAATTTTGACATAATTCGAACTTATTTCAACTTTGTGTACGCACACAAGGATTACATAAAACGTTCATAAGCATAAGAATTACGTTCGTCCACTGTGAACAGGGGTACACGTTTTCCATCGTTTCAACTATACGTATTTATGTAAGCTTTATGTACTTGTTATGCCTTATGTCCATTGTGAATGGGCAGTTAGCCTTGTTGGATAACCAAGGTTATAGGTGTAGATAAACAAGACGAGCCATTTTGAATTTTTTGATGTGTTTCTATTAGCACTTTAAGTTAAAAAGTGTTTGTTGTTATGGAAACACTTTTTATCCCTAGGGTCAAAAAGAGCCACTTTGGTCCCGATTTACAGGGACTAAAATATGAATTTTAGACCCGGTAGAGCAAAAATTCTTTGAATACCCTGTAATTCTTAATCTCTAATTTTTTATGTCAGGGAAGTTATTAAAGCGAGAACACTACGAAGTAATATACACTTTATTTATTTTGTCGTATGAAAATTTCTCTCGTATATCTTAAGCGATTTTCACTTTTACGGGCCCGGTCTGAAGCTTGTCTAACTAAATTTTTTCTCATTCAGGAGGCGACTACTTGATTGAAATTTGCGGCCGATACTTGAACGTTTATGGACAATGTGCCTTACGTTTTATCGACAGACCATGGAACTCTTCAAAAGCACACGACGTAACTACCGTTAAATTCAATTACGTCAATTTCAACGGAATTACAGGGATTTTAAATAAATTAAAAATGAGATTTCCAAATATCGATAATTTTTACTTCAAAGAAAACAATATCCACTGTTTAGGTCAAATAAACGCTTTAGCTGAGGTCCAAGGGTTAACTTCACTCTACATCGATCCCGAAGGGAACGCAGTCACTCAGAAAAAGTGGCGAAGTTACGCAATATACAGGCTTTCACACTGGGGTTTATCTGTAATTAACGACTCCGAAGTGACGGAGGAAGAAGTCAAGAAAGCCAACGAAGAATACCAAGGTCTAAGCGATTTAGTTTTGTGGTCGTTACCAGACGTTCTGTTGCAACCTTTGTTGGTCAGATTGAGATTAGACGTAAGTTACGGAATTTCGGAGCAAAATGCGAAAAAATGGCTGATGTCTGCTGATCCAGATTTGAAGAGTGTTGTCAGTAAGGAGGCATTGCAGTGGAAGAAAGGTGGTGGGGTAGGAGGTGAAGAAATTATCTTGAAGATGTATTTATCAATGTTTGTTGTAGGAAGATGCGGCGATGAGGCAGAAGGCCAAGCACTTTATTTCTCAGTTGTTAGAAGAAATGGGCAATTCTGTGAATAAGTTGAGGTTATTAGATAAGAAGTGGCCTTCGATTTTACACGAATTCGTGAGAAATGCCCTTCTGGATTACTCACAGTTAGATATGTACATGAAACAGAAAATGTTAGAACTGAAATGAATAAAATTGTTTCACTGCCGTAATATTTAACACTGTTATGCACTATTGTGAATGTTGACTTTTTATTAAGCGGTTTTTATTGTATTTGTTGAATAAATTTGTTATTCTTTATTATTTTATTTGTGTTTTTGTGGCCCCGTGTTTAATAAAACACCGGGGAAAGTGATGGATTTGAGGTAAGTATCGAGAGCAGGTGTGAGTTTTTTGTTTCTGGTGAAAAAGCTAGAAAGCATCTCTTGGAAATGGATATATGAGCGGGCAGTTTTAGAGGTTTGTAAACTTGTTTTTATTACCGGTAATATTCCAAATATTTTAACCTTCCACCTGAATCAGACTCATTAACAGTTACGTAAGAGAGAGCACCACATAAGGATAACATTAAATGGTGTTTTCGCAAAAACAGCAAACACAGCTTTATAAAAGCAATAACAAATTTAAAAAATGGTGGATAATTAAAATTGTAAACACCCACAACTGTCTGTTGTGCGTTCCACTTTCAGTTTGCATTAATTTAATGATGATAGGGTGTAACGATTCTAATTTATGTATTCAACCCCCCCCCCCCCCCTTGACGTCATAGTAAAATTTATTAAATACATAAATGTAAACATGAGCAACGCGTTGCAACTTCGCGCATATTTTTTTTTAAGTTCTGTACACAGCATGTAAAAAAATAATTATTATTTATCGATTAAATCTAAAATTACCATTTTTACTTCCCGAACGTAAGCGAAGGAAGTATTGTAATCGAGTCATGACCCCTAGAGTACGACCAAATAGGTTTCCCTTTTCCGTCTGTCTGTCTGCCGTCACTGATTTTTATTAGACAGACGAAACTTCAAAATTGTACATACTTAGTAAATGAGTTTTCAATTGCATGAAATAACATGTACTTTATGATTAGGTACGTATTGAGTTTTTACCCGAAAGTTCCAGATTTTTGGAGAAAAAAATCAAAATATATTTACTTATCCCCTCCAAAAAATTAGTAACGTTATCTCAAAATTTTGCCGAATAAATCCTATCTAAAATGTGCAAAATATAATGAGTTTTTACTTGTGATTCATGATTGCATTCATATTTTTTATTGATCAAATTAAGAACGAGTCACCCCATTTTCCCGAAAATGTGAAAATACAAACGTCTTTATTTAATAAGAATTATAATAATGATATTCAGAACATTTTGTCGATTGTATCTTACTACTTAAAAGTTTTGATCCTCTGTTTTGAGGGAACGAACTCATTCAAATGAAACTAATTTCTACGTGACGTTCTTTCGATGTATAAACATAAACACTTTCAAGTTGTTTTTCTTATCGAGGATAACTTAAAAACGTACAGAAATGGAGTCCGTCGGGCAATTTGGTACTTTTATATTTCCTCGATATTTCATAACCCCTAGGCAAGGCCGTAGTTGGGGAGGCTAGGGGATGCTGAGCTAAACAAGTTATAATTAACCAAATGTGAATTACAACATCGAAAATCAAAATAAAATGTAGTGTTTTATTCAATAAGCGGAAGTCAGAGCAATAAAATAGTCTGGACCGTCGGCATTGTGATCCGGTTATTGCAATTCGTAGAAAAATCTTTAGTTTAGTTTCTGTGTATGCTCACGAATATAGGTTGATAAGTGTTATCGCTATTTCTCTAAAATTATGATTTATGAGTACCATACATGATTTTCAGGTCAGTCTTCAGTCGCACCTCTGTTATTACATATGGCAGACGTGATTAAATTGTTTCGTTATTTTACCGATTATAATTATAAATCACTATTCAAGAATAACAATAAAACAATACTTTTATTATTAGTATTACAATGCCTCTCTGCAAACTGATATATGCGTCCTTGCAAAAATGTAGATGACATCAACACAAAATTTTATAATAGAAAAACTCACTTGTAACAAACGATTAGCACGTTTCTTTACCTTTATTCAAACATTAAATACATATTTTTATTCTAGCTTATAATGGTTGCTATAAAAACAATAAAATTCACAAAATCAATTCTTTTAATTTTTCCAAAGAGCTGGATTTGACAAGGTGTACTTTATGGGCCAGGGAAGTTCAGTCGAAGTAATTTTCGACCAATTTTTTTAAAGCTTGTCATCTGAATGAGAAATCTACGCTTATTATTTTATTTATGAATTCTAATACTCTGTCTGTGAGGTGTTTTGTTTTGGTTCTACTACGCATATTTGAAAGTAATTTCACTGATTAAATTGTAAGCACTCCTTTGCAAAAACCTGTAAACACATATATATGTTAAATTAACGTTCATTGTTGTTCCTTATTGTGAAGGTGAAAGTGAAGAAGTATTGCCAATTATTCTTGAATCGGGCTGGTTATGAAACTACGAGGACTGAAACGATGAAATAAAAATCACTTCTAGTTGTATTTGGTCTGAAGTTAACAATAATTCTATTAATCATTTGTAAAATTATGATGTTTTACTTCCCGAGCGTAAGCAAAGGAAGTATTGTAATCGAATCCGTCGGCCGACTCTCTACTTCTACGTTTTCTCGGCCTTTAATGACCCCTAGAGGACGAAGAACTAGGTCTCCCGTTTCCGTCTGTCTGTCCGTCTGTCTGCCGTGCCGCATTTTTATTAGACTATGATAATCTCCGAAAGTACAGGACCGATTGTTGCGAAATTTTGTATTTATATTAGGAATATCGTGTAGATGGTAAAACGCTAACCAAAATTTTCACTAATGCGATGACGTCAGTTCAAAATTGTACATAGTAAATGGGTTTTAAATTGTATAAAATAACATAGTCCTACACATGTAGTTTATGACTCCGAATTGAGTTTTTACCCGAAATGTCCAGATTTTTGAAAAAAAAAAAAATCAAAATTATGAAACAATATTTTGCAATTTAATTTTAAATCTGCAAAACCGAATGCTTTGAAATCTTGCAGATAGTTTACAGTTATGACAAGCACGATCAATTTTTAATCAAAATAAATTTACTCATCCCCCCTAAAAAATTCATGACGTCACCTCAAAATTTTGCTGAATAAATCCTGTCTAAAATGTACAAAATATGATGAGTCTGTACTTGTGACATATCACTCCATTCATATTTTTTGAATTTGCATATACAGGGTGACTCAAAAAAATTAATGAAAGTGAGAATTTATTTTATTGATTTAATCAGGAACTACAAAACCGAATGCTTTGAAATGTTGGAGATGTTTTAAATTTATCATAAGCATGGTAAAATTTTGATTGAAATGTATTTGCGCATCCCCCCTAAATATTTGATGACGCCACCGCAAAATTTTGCTGAAAAAATGTTTAAATGTGTAAAGAATGATGAGTCTATTCTTGTGATTTATCACTGCATTAATATTTTTTAGATTTGCTTATACAGGGTGTCTGAAAAAAAAAATAATGACTGAGTCAATTAATTTTATTGATTAAATCAAGAATTACAAAAATGTAATACAAAAAAAGACATAATAGGCTTGCAGTCGTCACGTTCCCGAGAGCGAGGGAAGTACTGTCTAAACTCTTTAGACCAATTTTTTTCAATATGTAAAACCTTCTCAGGGGACCAAATGTCTTTTTTTAAGAATATGAAACATTTTCGGGGATCCCAAATGTCTTTTTTAAAAATGACAAACCTTTTTCGGGGGTCCCAACTGTCTTTTTTAAAAATGTAAAACCTTCTCGGGAGCCCCAAATACATTTTTTTAAGAATGTGGAACCTTTTCGGGGGTCCCAATTATTTTTTTAAAGTGTAAAACCTTCTCGGGGGCCCCAAATGTTTTTTTTTAGAATGTGAAACCCTCTTGGGGGTCCTAACTGTGTTTTTTAAAAATATAAAACCTTCTTGGGGGCGCCACATGGCTTTTTTAAGAATGTGAAACCTTCTCGGGGGTCCCAAATGTATATTTTTAAGAATGTGAAACCTTCTCGCGAGCCCCAAATGATTTTTTTAAGAATGTGACCCTCTTGGGGGACCCAACTGTCTTGTTTTCAATATGTAAAACCTTCTCGGGGTACCAAATGTCTTTTTTTAAGAATATGAAACATTTTCGGGGATCCGAAATGTCTTTTTTATTAATGAAAAACCTTATCAAGGGCCCAAATGCCTTTTGTTTAATGTGAAACCTTTTCGGGGGTCCCAACTGTCTTTTTTAAAAATGTAAAACCTTCTCGGGGGCCCCAAATGCATTTTTTTAAGAATGTGGAACCTTCTCGGGGGTCCCAATTGTTTTTGTAAAATGTAAAACCTTCTCGGGGGCCCCAAATGTTTTTTTTTTTTTAGAATGTGAAACCCTCTTGGGGGGTCCTAACTGTGTTTTTTAAAAGTGTAAAACCTTCTCGGGGGCCCAAATGTCTTTTTTTAATGTGAAATCTTTTCGGGGGTCCCAACTGTCTTTTTTAAAAATGTAAAATCTTCTCGGGGGCGCCACATGGCTTTTTTAAGATTGTGAAACCTTCTCGGGGGTCCCAACTGTCTTTTTTTAAGAATGTGAAACCTTCTCCGGATTCCCAATGTCTTTTTTTAAGAATGTGAAATCTTCTCAGGGGTCCCAACTGTCCTTTTTTAAAGAAGGCGAAACCTTCTCGGGGGAACCCTTTTTTTCTTAAGAATATTAAATCTTCTCGGGGCTACCAACTGTCTTTTTTTCTATTACCCTGTGACTAGTACCTTCTATATTGTTTTTACTCCATAGAAGTTATCACGAAAAAGTAAAATTTCGCAAAATCAAATTTTAATAGTTTTGCAACGAAGCAGTGTTTGTTGAACTGTACTTCAGAAGCTAGGGAAGTTCTGTGGAAATAACTTTCGACCAATTTTTTCACTGTGTGTAAATTTTTAACCCAGTACGCAGTCTTCAAAAATAAAAATTATCGAAATATCTGGAAGCAATTTAGACTAGTACTACATTTATTAGATCATTCGAATAGTTAAATGGAAAACAGTTATTTACAGGCAAAAAAAACTAAAACTACATTTTCTGTCCTATCTAATCTAAATAAATTTCGTTTTATGTGACTGAAATGTAATGAACACGCCAACATTGACTCGTCATTTGTTTTTATTTTAGATTGTAATTTCATTTCCATTTTGGTTGAGGTCATAAATATCGATATAATAAATTTAAAATTTTATCACAAATGTGAGTTTTACTTTTCCTTGCGAATGAGACATAAAAATGTTTGACCGGTTAGGATTACCCAAATTAAATTTACTGTCGACCACCTCGAAGGCACATCGTATCTCGTATCAACCGTTTTTTTACGTTCGCCAAGCAATTTCACTTATTACAGTTTAACAATGAAATTATTGCACATCGACTCGTTTATTACATTTTTATTACTTTTCTTGATAACTTTGCATTTTATCGTATTCGCACTCTCCCATCAGTTGGGATGAGTGAAAATTATTTGGCGCATATTCTGAGTTTTATAATCCTATAAAGTTCTGAGTGCATAACCAAACAAAAACAACACAGGTGATGAAAATCTGATAAAACAAATTTGAAACTGTTGGCTGACATTTTCAAAATATGATGCTACCAACACTTTTCATAAAAAATAAAGGATCTATTATACCATTTTTGAGATTTTTTGGGTCATAGGATTATTATTATTCTTATAGAGGGAATTCTGTAATTACTGCCGCAACAAATTTTTCACACTCATATTATCCTGGGGCATTAATAAGAATGAATAAAACGAGTGAAGGAAGTGACTTACTTTACTGTTGCTCTAATTACATTTGATATTACGTGCGATAATTAAGCATAATGTTTATCTAGTTATGATTTTTTGAATAAACTTATATCCTGCTACTTATTTTCTACCTGAATATGTGCACTTTATACAACTTTAAACGAGAGCGGGTAACCTAAGCACGTGGTTGCAACGAAACATAAAGAAATACTTTCACTGCTTTCCCATCTTTCCCTTATGCTGCCCGCCGAGTTTATATATTTATCTCAAGAATCACTTAGTTTAAGTTATTCTTGATTTACCAAGTGTGCTAAGTGTACAAACTGTGTAAGTTTAAAGGTAAAAATCTTTATTATATTGACGTTCTTCTTCTTTTATTTAGCTCAAATTAAAATTAAAAATAAAGTGTCCATCTCTATTCACAAATGTCAAAATTTTTGTAAAAACAACAAACTCTAAAAGTTGTTCATACTTTTTATAAAAACAATACTAAGAATTCAAATATAGTTCCAGTAGGATTTAAAATAGCTTGTGCAAAATTGGCGGGAATTACACCTTGTCTGTTAAACATTTCTGAATAAACAGTTTTAATGGACACTAAAATAATAATAACCAGACAATTTTAATCGTCTACTTATTGACTAATTAGTGTTGTTTTGAAATAACATCTCTTGTTTGTACAAAATAATTTTCCATTTGAAGAGAAGTTGCACAGAGATCAATCTTCGAATTTTTTTGTACTTACGCGTTTTTTATTTCTTTGTATTTTTACAATTTTCTTTCATTTGTATAAAAATAAAGCGCACGCAAGCGAGAGAATAAAATCTTATTGATTTCCATGAACTGCGAAATCGAAAGGAATACACATAAATCAATTGTCTACCGTGAGGAGTGTCGTTAAAAATGTAATAAGAACGAGACTATAAGAATGTGGACTTTCGCACTCTACAGGAAAGCGGCCCTAGGCTTTTAGCAAAACAAGTTTGTGGTATTCCCCCTGTAATCGTGTATCGGAAACGGACTCCCAAGTGTGTAACACTGTAACGCCAATCCAAGAAAAATTGAAATTGTTGTAATAGTAATAGTCACTTTCCCGCATCACAAATTGCGCTTTATTTTTTTACTCTCGTGCAGCTTATTTCTTGCGTGTAGACAATAATTAAACTTTCATTGCAATTTTATTTTTTTCCGTTTTAATTGATTGGAATTGATTTCCTCTGTAATTATACTGAAGTAACTACTTTTCCAGATGGGTTACCTCTCCCACACTTTTATTCTTCTGGGTCTGATCGGTCTCTCCAAAGCTCATGGTTTTATCAAACTGGTTATTTTGGCAGCTTTAGGTTTGGCGGGCTTGTGGATGGTTCACACTTTAGCCCAGGATTATGGGAACATATCTGGCCATGGGGGAGGCGGCGGCGGTGGAGGCGGAAAAGCATTTGAAAAGCGGTCTATTGATGTAAGCGTCTCAGTGTTTACCATATATTTACATATTTTACGATATTTTGTGACTAGAGGTAGTTACGTGACTCGCAAAAAAATCAGCTACTATTAAGGAAAATCCGGAGGTTGTTAACCTGGAATTTAAATTATAATTATTTCTATAAATCGCGACGAGTGTTTAATACTAAACCGGCTTTATAATTTGTACTCCATTAAAAGTGATCCATAAAACGTTAGGATTTTTAATAGCGAGAATCATAAAAAAAACTTTCGTGAAAGTTTGAGTCATATTTCAAGACTATGTTATCATCGTCATATCTGGAAACTCTCGTTTTTTATTAGCATAGTATATATGCGTAACAGGAGAACCTGTTCTTGTCTGCAGAAAATATATCTAATAGTATGGGCTCGTTTTAGCTTTGGGTTTCGTCTATTTGATTTCTGTTTAAGTGTGCGTGTTTTAGCTGGGATTAACAGCAAAAAACAACCGTTTTATAGCTTCAAATTTTGTTGCTACATGTGAATTTAGTGTTGATTAAAGAGTAGATCAGTGGCCACAAACTAAATTTAATATTTATGTGTATCAGAGTGTTTCATCTCCGTAGCATTATCATTCTGAAAATCTGTCACATATTACTTCTTCTTAACTTTAAAATTTGGACTACCAAAGTTTTCAGCTTATCTCAGGAATTACACATCAGCTTTCTTTGAAAGTTTGCTGTGAAAATTTCGTCGCAGAACGTTAATAAAAATTCATTTATTCACCTCGTTTTTAACATTAATGTGTATGCGCCGACATGCGGTATTTCTTGTGCTTTAAATGCGAGGGATGTTCTCTGTAACTGATTTTAAGAATCTTTAAATTTCACCGTAATTTCTAAATATCTCTCATTTTATAATCAGATTCAGCATTAGGAGTCATTTAATACATACTTTTATGTAATTACCTATTCATGCTGGCTCAATAGAACTCAATTAGGGCTACAATTTGTAATCATTTTCAAATGTACAAGATCTACCATTTAATATATAGTGAAGTAAAAATTTTAAACGTAATCGCTATAGTTTTACAGAAGTTTCTTTATGAAAAAACGGAAACAAAATAGTATAAAGGTTTTTTGAGCAATAGTTTTCAGAAAAATATTTATACTTCAAAATTCGCTCCACTACTTTTAAAGATGGAGGTTTGAAGTTGTACCAAAAACTTTTTAGTTATTTATCTTACTTTACCATATTTTATGTGCATATAAACGACCGAACAAATTTTAAGTTGCTTTCTACCTGGTCATTACAGTTGCAAATTGTTAGTTTCCTCGTGTTTTTTAAATGGGATATCCTATATTTTACAAGGTTTTAAAACTGGTTTCCCAGTAAGCTTTCTTTTAATACATACTAGGTTTAACAGATGTTTCATTTCAATAATATCGAAAAACTGAGTAACAATTTGATTTGCATATAGATTCTTATACATATAAAAGGCAAAGTTCATTAATAATAATAATAAGTTTATTTGTCGGAGATTTTCTACAAAACAAAACATTTGTACCGAACGGGAAGAAAATGTACATTATCTATTTCGAAGAATGGAAAACGGCAGGATCGGGAAATTAGGCGATCCGCAAAATAGGTTAAAAATACGGGGTGTCAGGAAATTGGCGGATTAACTCGCCGCTACGCTTTTAACAATCAACTGGTGAATCTGCGAAAAATAGTAAAAAAAATCCTCACATTTTGGTGGAGTTATGATGATTTTAAAATTGGTTCTTTTGCTATGTTTAACAACTAAACAACATATTCAATATCACAATAACTAGTAATAAAACTTTTAGTTAATATTTATGTCGCCCATGCCATGTTTAATTACTAGAGAGCGGATTTATAAGCACAAAAAAATTAAGAATAAGCGCTTAAATAAGCACATTTTCAATAAAAAAGTTTTATTTTAAGCAAAAAAGCATTAAATAAGCATAACACTTTCATTAAAAAAGTTTTATTTTAAGCAAAAAAGCATTAAAAACATAATCATATTACAAATCAAAGAACACTTCTTAGAACTTTGGATAAAATATTATTACAATAATCCTAAACTTTATATTTTACACACGTATTTCAGTTTTCTTTAAAACAATTTATGATTGTAAGATGTTCCAAGTTGTCCACTGTAAAATTTTTTCGCCGATCATTTAAAATGTGTTTAAAATTGGAGAATGTGCGTTCAACATCCACACTCGTTGTTGGCGCAAATTTGAATTTTGCAACTAATGTTGAATCTAACTCCAAATTTTCCACCTTCTGGCCTTGTAAAACACGAGCAACGTCGGAAAGAACACCGAAACCTGCATTTTTATTTAACACATCGTCAAGTTTTTGAGATACTCTAGTACCAATAGCACCCCTTACTGCGTTTGCTTGTTGTTTAAATTTTTTCACTAAGTTTATGGCATCTACAAACAACATGTTGGGTTTTTCTAACTTTTCTATTACCTCACATACGAATTGATAATTGCTTCTTAGAAAAGCTAGATTTTGTCGCAAATCTTTGTTTTCTAAAATATTTATGCAATCTTTAATCGATTGAGAAGAATCTTCGCTAAACTCCGTAACTACTTCCTCAAATTCTTTGATATATTTGTCATAATAAAATGTGGCCTGTAACCATGTTCCCCACCTCGTTATAATCGGCTCTGGGGGTAATGGTATGTTTGGAAATTTTTCCTTAAAATGTTGCACTCTTAGTGGGGTTTTAACAAAAATCTTTTTACCATTTGCCACTAATTTATTAACAGTAGGAAACTGCAAATGTATTGCTTCAGCCACTCTGTTTAAACCGTGGGCAATGCAAGTAGGGTGAATTAAATTGGGGTACAATATTTTTAGATTATTCCCTGCTTTCAACATATAACGAGCTGCATCCGAGATCATCAATAAAATTTTATTCGCCGGTACGGCATTTAGCAAAAATAGTGACGTAAGACTGTCATTTACAAATCTGGTAATCGTATTGCCATTTGTTTCATCTAACATTTTCAAACTTACTACATAGCCTCGACTAGGGAAATTTTCATTTAAGATTCCAACAATTAAAGTTGCCACGTATCTTCCACAACTATCGGTTGTTTCATCGACAGCGAACCATAAATAATTATCTCCAATGCGATGTTTAATTTCGTTGTAAACTTGCTGAAACACTGGGCCTACATAATTTTTTCGGAGAGTACTTTCAACCGGAATAGGTCGATTGCAGTGTTTTTCAAGGAATTCTTGAAGAGGTCCTTTCTCTAATTTTTTTAAAGGTATATTGGACTGGATCATCATTTTACATAAATCGAAATTAAACTGAAACTGCTCATCTTTTGTGGAAGTAGATGCAACAGATTCATGTATGGTCTGCTGTTTAATTTTAGAAACTTCAAACATTTTCTTCCTTTCTGCATGAAGAGTCGTTCTGACATGTTGCGTCACGTTATATTTTTTATCACTTTGAATCTAAAACAACGTACATATACAGGATTAACAAAGGAAAATAGATAAAAAAAAAATTAGTGGGCTTACGGTTTTCACACAAGCTCTGCAGAATATTTTGTTGTTTTCTAATTTTAATTCTGGAAAATCCCTTATCCACTCATCCGGCGTCGATTTTACTTTCGGCATTCTTTTAAAATATTAGTAATATTACCAAAAAGAACTCAACATGTAACAAGGGAGAACCACGTATAACACTGTAGTATGTACGACAGATACGATAGACTGATGGTTGTGAAATAAACGGTTCATTTACTTAAAAGTTTCCATTAGAAAAATTTTAAGGTAGGTAGTTGGATACAATAATCCTTTTTTCTAGAAAATCTTCAACGGTTTTGCCGCAAAATGCCGAAAAAGAACATCTAGTTAAAAGCTTTAATTTATTATCAACGGAAGTAAGGATTTAAAGTCATAAAATCTATGGAGTATTTTTCCAATCCTGTAATAAAATTTTATTACCCAAACGACCGGAACCTATTCACAGAAAGGGTCTTGAGTAAGTGTATTTCAATGGTCAAGTCTAGGTAAAATGCATACGATACGATACGGCTAACTAACAAGTATTTGTCATCCCGACAAGGCCGGCATTTGAACAAAATATGCATTAAAACTCATATTCGTCGAAAAAAGCATTAAATAAGCATATAAGTTTTAATATGCATAAAATTGAAAAAAAAGCAAATAAGCATAAAAAAAATGTGTCAAATGACTCCAAATTGTATCATAGTTAGGGGAGACCTGTCCAAAACCGTATACTGGGGTAAAACCGTATAGTGCCCTTAGAACTGCTGGTTGTTTGAATTTGCCGCTCAAACTTCTGTCAATGGGATCTACCAATGAGAGCCATTTGTCGACAAAAACTTGTTAATGCTGCCACGCTCGTTACAAAATTAAATATATTTAATGATTTTCGGGTGCTGTAATCTAATTATTAACTAAATAACCACTGCAAGTGTATACTGTTAACGGAATTCAATGTAAGTACGTAATTTACGATGTCATTGTATGTTTTTCTACTATTATTTTCAGTGTTTGTCTTAACCGATTTTTTTTTGTGTTTGTTGTGGTGAGCAAAATGTTCATTTGAGGTTACCTTGGGGCAGAACCGTACGGGGTAAAATCGTATGAGCTTCTAAGTAATTCGCAGTCGAAAATTAATAAACCAAAGTTGAATCTGTCAGAAACCAAGAAAAAAAAATTGGTCTAAAGAGTTTCGACAGTACTTCCCTCGCTGTCGGAAACGTGACGACTGCATGCCTATTATGTTTTTTTTTTCGCAGTGGATTTCAAAGAATTCGGTTTTGTTGTTTCTGAGTAAATCAGTAAAATAAATTTACGCATTCATTAATTTTTTTGAGTCACCCTGTATATGCAAATCCAAAAAATATGACTGGAGTGATAGATCACAAGTACAGACTCATCATATTTTGTACATTTTAGATATGATTTATTCGGCAAACTTTCGAGCTGACGTCATCAATTTTTTGGAGGGGA